TTGTAGTAGTAGTTGTTGTAGTAGTAGTAGTAGGAGTAGCCGTAGCCGTAGCCGTAGCCGTAGCCGAAGCCGTAGCCGTAGCCGTAGTCGTAGTCGTAGTCGTGGTAGTAGTCGTCGTCGTGGTTGTTGCAGTACAGTAATCAGTAGCAGTAGTTGTTGCTGTGGCAGTAGGAGTAGCCTTAGCAGTAGCTGTAGCCACTGGAGTCACTTATTTTTACACCCATCAGGTTCAACGAAGCCAGGAGCAAAACATGGAAACCCATGTATGAAGCTGTTGTGGTACACTGTGCTTTGCCCATCGTCTTCATTCCATACTTTCACCAAGGTGTCTCGAAAGTGGAAAGTTTATTCCTAAACGGGGGAGGAATACTTTTGAACAACATCTTCTGCAGGAGCTGGCAGGAGTTGGTAAAGACTTCTGTTGAAGTGGACCCAACGCAGAAACTGTCATCATCTAGATTCACCCCATGCACCCATCGGTATGAAGAGCATATATTATATATATATATATAGACATCGCGAAAAAGGCATAGAATTCATTAGTATTCAATTGAGTTCTACTTTTGTCTCCCATGCTTGCAAGTTGATCTACTTAGAATCAGTTGCCCTTCTTCTGCCACACTGTGAAAATCCAAAGTATCCACGCAAAGATGTGCCCCACAAAACCCCAGAGTGGTTTCAAGGGGAAGCTCACCCCACAACCAGACACGCAACTGGCTGCCTGGAAGTGCTCAAGCTTTCCTGGGTTTCACCATCCTCATCTGCGCTTTCTTGGCTTTCACCATCCTCATCCGTGCACCCACATTTTAAGCTTGGTCCATTGACCATCCGTCTACACAAAAAAGTTGAGCAGCACACAGCCTCTCAGATACACTGTGGAGACCCATCTCTGGCAAAAAACTCCGGGAATTTGGAAGGGGATGGACATGATAGTGCTTCCGTTTCGAATGCATTGCATGCATTATGCTATCCAGCTCTTGATACATAAATGTCTCAAATAGAGAGATGGGAAATTATGATACCATTAAGTACATGCTCCAAGCTCTCGGCATCTGTAAGCGCATTCTCCTCAGACTCCTCAAACAAAATGTCACCAATGAGGTGTCCAACATGCGTGGGTCAAAAAAGGAGCGGGTAGTGCCTTGGGAACATGAAGCCACACATTTTCGGCCACATGACAAGAACATATCTGCATCCTCCAACTCGAAGTGCAAACCGCAGAATTACGCTGCTGAAGTCCGTTCATGTCTTTATCCACCAAGCGCGCCACGTACTCCAGATCCAGCTCACCAATAAACTCAGCCGTCCAGACCACATGGCTGGAGCATATAGGAAAGATGAGAGCAAAAAGCACGTGGATAGGTCGAATCAAACAGTGGAATTCTGACATCATGGTACCAGTTCCATCTAAACTGGTCAGGTTGAAGATCCCTTCAGATTTTGGGTCATGCCGTGAAAGAGGGACGAAATGCACAGATTTTCGGACGCCCCTTACGTTTTTCAACCTGGGTCATGCATCTGCTGATGACTACGCGTCACTACCCAAACTGGTGGCCCAATAGAAGACACTAGATAAACAGCGGATGTGGTCATTTACCTTGCTTTGCCCTGTTTGGTTGAATCCTTGTCAAACTGCACAGGGCCTCCCTCCATTGCTGCCCGAACAAAGCTCGGAATGGCCCCATCGAGCTCCCTGAAGGAGGAATATGCCAAGCAGCTTCGCGGGTCTTCTGATAGGTCTTCCTAGCTGGTATGAAATGGAAGATATTCATGTATATTTTCGAGCAAACCATCTCCTCGCAGGTCATAGAAGCTGAAGAGGAAAAGTTGAACCTACAAAATCCATGTTTATATGAATAGTCATTGGTAGCCTGCGTAACAACGACCATGGAGTCCCTTCTGGTCTACTGGGTGTCGGGTACCGTAGCAAAGCAAACACTTTTGTGATGACTTCCGGACCGAATTGATACTCGTGGATTCGACAAAACGTCGAACACCAAGTGTGCCCTGTCTCGAGGCACAAACATATGCCAAACACAAACCAAGTGTTTACCTTCTTGCATTCCCAAAGTGAAAGCCTGTGAGGGACGGTCAAAATATGTCAAAATGAACTGTTGGTCCAAAGGACATCGGCTTTTTAATGAATATCCATATAGCTTTGATGAGCATGCCCAAACACACCGGTCCTTTTGACCATCCCTCATGTCAGATCTGGCAAGTGTCCTGAGAAAAGCCACTCGTGGTGCAGGGCCCCGAGGGCCTGGCGGGCCTGGCCTGCCTGGTGCCAGGGAGTGTCACAGTTGGTCAGTTGCAAGAAGTGGAGAATATTTCAAAATAGTGGAAATGGGTAACTAGCAGAGCTGCACTTCCTAAAACATATTGTGTTAATGATCCGCTCTGCTCCGTCTGGCTTGACCCAAAGTCGCATTGGATTGCTGGTCACCATTGAAGTGGGTCAACCATTGAAGCACCAGGACGTCATTTGATCTCCAACCATAAATTTGATGTCGTATAAGCTTTGGAAGTTGCGAAGGCTAGTTTGAGCCTCAAAGGACACTGTCTTGAGACTACTGCTCACCTGTGCCTCCTTCGTGCGGGGGAGCCTCAGCCACCTCAGGAACCTGAGCTCATGGAAGTGGGCGATGTAGGTGGGCGGACAGGCGCCCACCGGTCTGGTGGGCCAAGCCGAGAACTGGTGTCCCGGCTTGGCGTCGAATAAATGTGTCGAAAAACAAGACAGCCTTCCCGTGCTGGAATCAGTCATGATGCCTTCAAGGTGTCCTTCACATCCACAAGTCCAACCGCACTCTTCTCAGGTGCCGCGCTGCTGGGTGGCTTCTAGCTGCCAGGCCCGCTATTCCTGAAGCATTCAGGCATTGGTTTTCAAGTCAGGTAGTTCAAATCAAAAAGACTTCTGAGAATCGACACTGCAGCACAAGGTTCATACAACCAATTTCCCTTGTGGCCACTTGCTGACAAGCATCCGGCAATAGTGGGCAGTTTGCTTGCTCTGGGCACAGCCATCATCCTGCAAACCACTGCATTGCCCATGAATCCAAGTTGTGGATCTCAAGACAAAATTACAACTTTGTGTGGCTCATTGCCTGGTGACCAGCTACAAAAGACCTGTACAATCTTGTATTACAGGCCCTCGAGGGTTGACTGACTGAAACCTCTTTTGGACACATGTGTCCGTGGCAGTTGGTGGAAAGCCTACATAACTATGCATGCACTATGTTTACTCATCCTTACTAAACTCCAATCTACAGAACCATATGAAACTTGTTGTCCTTTTCATACCAACAGCCCCGGTCCTTCAGCGGCACAGTCAATGACCGCCGGTGATGTGGCCGTGGGGGGCCGCCATGCGCGGGAACACCCACCGAGCTCCGGTGAGGGTGCAAAAAGCTGAGCCCAACGGAGGCAAACAGCAGACTGTCTGGAATGCTGCCATGCTGGCCATGCTCATCTTCCGTTTCTGCTATTGTATTGAAACAAGAAAGACATCCTTGAGGTGGATGATGCCTTTATAAGAAATCCCCGGACGGGCAACAATCAAGTGCAACGAATAGAGAGTTTGCAGCAAAGGAACCTCCCTTCTTCGGGCCAGGGAAGGGTATAGAGAGAGAGAGAGAGATTTTCTCTACCGGCAAACCTCCGCAACAGCCTGGATAAATGTTATTGCCTCACCCATGTAGCTGACATCCTCCCACCCAGCCTGCGTGCTGCAGAGGGGCCACATGGGGCTCAATCCCATCAGCTCCTCCGGGGCTTTGCGCTCCAAACACAGCCTGACCTTAAATCCCATCTTGATTTGTCTACGAGTGGAAACATGTTCACTTTTCTTTTGCCCGTGACTCCAGTCTTTATCCTTTCCTTGACACACCACGGCTAAGTACCTTGTTGTCACACCGACCGAAGAATCCTGCAAGCCCGCAGCGGCCAATACTTCCCGGGTGTTGCTTGGCGGAGCATACTTTAGACGTTGCTGCCAGGGCATAAGGTGAGAGGCCTGGCAAGGTAACTGGGCTGGTTGAGTCACCATTCCCCCAAATGTTCTACAGTACTGGATTCCCACGCAGCCAAGCGCAATGATAGTGCGATTGTGCGATGTGGCAGTCTGCAGATCTTCCGTATCTATCTTCCATATATTCTGCAGGGTGACAGGTACAGGGTCGATGCCAATGTCCCATTGAAACAAAGTATCTCCCCACTAAATCTGTGTCTTTACAAAAAAGCACCTCATTGAATGAACTTAGAAGACATCACCGGGCCAATCACCAGTACACCGCACAACAACACGCATTCCTCCCAAATGTTGCACAAAACCTTTGTCCCTGCCTGGTCTATTGATGCTCAATGTCATTCCCGACTTTGGTGCTCAACGTTGAAAATTATGCTCACAAGAGCTATCATTTCAAGTTGATAACAATTGGCAATTTCGGTCATAGTTCTCGGGTTCACCCACCCACGTTCATTGTGCTCGCCGATGTTTAAAGGTCAATTTGTCAGCCAAGCCTGAGAAAAAAAGAAACGCCAATTGTAGAAGGGCTGTAAGATGCGGTTTTACAGACCCAATGCTAATGCAAGTGCAACCTGTTCTTTTCATTTCTTTGTCAAACGAATCACAACAAACAATCAACAATCACCTTCATCATCCAAAAAACCCGTGCGGTTCCCGACGACCTTACATCCCGATGCCTGCGCCGCCCGGAGCGCAAAGCCCACACTCACCACGTCTGGTTGCAGCTGCAAGGCTGGTGCAAGAACTGCCAGCAAATGGACACACCTCGGTTTCTCGAAGTATGATCAAGTAGGGAGGGTTTGCAGCAAAGAATCTACTGGAGCCGTGCACGTGACCCCGAAACCTCACCATGGGCTCTCTTTGACTTCAATCACTTGCCACTCATGACCCTTCGCTCACAAGTCTGGCCAATCGATGCTTCGACTGGTGTGCAACTCTGCCCTTTTTGCCATGCACCAATATATTCAAATATAGTGTCAAAATGTGTCAAATGTTATACAATTTGATCACTGTTGACTGCTTGCTGGATCTGGCTTGAGAGATGTTTCAACGACACAATGGAGACACTGCTTGAGATACGGTAGGCAAACACATTTGAAGAAAATAGAACAATCTCAGTCATCAATCTGGGAATCTGGGGAAATCGCTTCCTGGTGCTTCCCTCAAGTTATCAAGGTTGTCACCACGAGGTCTGTGTTCAGACATGCCAGAAAAAGATGGGAAGCTGCAATCAAAAGAGCTGAGATTTGAACACCTGATCCACCCCATGTCAGCCTCTCCAGCTATGCATGAAGATCCATGAGGATCCGCAGGTGTTGTTCTTGTTCCACAGGGCAACTGGCGTGTTCTTCTGTTCGCCATACCCACTGTCTTCCTTGCAAGATGCTCTTTCCACCGGTGGCTCAAGGCCAGGCTGTGCAGGGTTGAGTTCAGCCCATAAAGGGCCGCCTCTGGTGTCAATGACCTCGATTGAACCAACCATGCCACCGGTGAATCCCTGAACGATTCTGGTGACTTCATGGTTTTGACATCCACTTCCCTTGCTAGTCCATCTCACCGTCTCGGTGGACCAGCACTGAGTAGGGCGATCCCCGCCACGGTCGCACCCTAGTAGCGTCCGATCGCTCCTAAGTAGCGATGCAGCGTCCTTGCTCCTAGTAGTAAGGCCAGGAGCCCCTGCCCTAGAAGCGTCCTTGCTAGTAAGCAAATGGAAAACAAGGAGTCCCGCTGTGGGTTCCGAGTAGGTGGGATCCACCTGTCACCGAAACAAGACGATTCCCAGAGTACCAACCGTGCTCGTGGTTCACGGGATCACGGGATTCAACAACCTCTGAACTTCGAACGACTCAAAAAAGTCTGGTCTGTTTGTTTGTGGTCGGCTGTGACATGCATTGAATGGATGTGTGTTTCATTGCGATTTCCTCGCTGGTGATGTCTTTTGTCCCGTAAACTCAACGCCTCCACATCTCGTTAAACAAAGTGTCTCACATCTTTCACCAAGTCTCAGCGCCAATTCCCAAGCAGAACCCTGCTTACAGGCAGAGATCGCGGCATTACCTAGCAAGGACGGCGATGCGTCTTTCTCCACCTCTATGGGCCGCTTTGACGCGTCCGCACGTCCAGCGGGGCATTTGACCCTCATTCACAAAGTCCTCTCAAGCGACAAATACCTTAGGATTGATCTAAGCTCCCTGGACATTGTTGGAGGGGAGATGTTGTAAGTTCCGGCATGTCCATACCCTCATTCACCCACTGACGAGCACAAAACTAGTAGTTTCCGCGAACCCTCTTGTGCTGTCCAAAGTGCATGCTACGAGGTCAGGGCGCCCCACAGTTGCAAGAAGCCGAAGTGCTCGTTGCCATTCGCTACCCTTTTCCTTGGCATGCTGCAGCAACCATGCAATCGTGGGTCTAAGGATCTGGTATATGCACTTGATGAAATAGGTGTCAATTTACAGTTCGATATTTATTAGGGGCTCCCGGCATCGCTACTAAGAGCAAGGACGCTACTAGGGGCTCCTGGCCTTAGCTACTAGGAGCAAAAAGCTACTGTGAGGTCCAAAAAGCTGAGGTGAACAGTCCACGACCTTAAGCAAGACCTAGCGCCTTTCGGCGCCAAGTCACTTGATGCGTTCAATGACACTGAAGGACCCAACTGCAATGCCCAAAGTCTTTCAACACTCAACGCAAAACGCCCAGAACAATTCGGAAAGGGACCTCTGATACCCACCTATCAACCGTACATTGTGTATAGACTTCTGCCTTAGTTCGCTTCTTGATCTATTGAGTCTGACTCCAGAAAAGGCAGTCGCTGCTGTTCGTTGAAACCAGCCAAAACGCCAACGCACTGATGGCGGCACTGAGCATCACCAGGTTTGCCTTGGTGATGCACTGAGGAATGCACCCTTGGGTAGCTACCCTGAAAACCTCCCTTGACACTAGTGTTGCGAGTTCCAGTAAAGGTGTCGTTTGTTGTCTCTAGGTTGTCAACGGTGAAGCTGGGTGAAGTGGCCCTGTTCATCTCTTTTGTGGCATGATGCACTAATTGCCCCAAAACGGATTCACGGGCAGTTCTTGTCTTACATTGTCTTACAATGTCTTGCATTTGTACGCCCCACTCCCAGAAGACTATAGACTCTAGGGATGTGTCATAATTATATAATCATAATTTTACCAATCTTACGATCAGCACGGCACACTGCAAAGCATGTGCGATCAGCACGGATGTTGGAGTGAATCAATCAAACACCCTCACGACTTGATGTCCGATGTTCTTGGATCCTCCAGTGTCGTGCATCCTCCAGCAGCTGCAGTGCGTGCTGCCAGCGGCCTCCTGGCTTCAGAGTGGGGAAATTTGAACTGAATTAGGGCTGAATGGATGAAGCCTTCAGAGGCTCGTCTTGTGTCCTAAGGCAGATCAATCCGCTGCCCCGAAGCAGGGCCAGCTCTTCACTCAATTCCCCTAGTTTTGTGAGCAGCTTGACATGCGAAGGACCGCATGGTACTGGTAGGTGGTTCACTTCCAGAGACAAAATGAAGCGATGGCCTCCACTGAAGTTTGCCCTGAGAACTGGATAAATGGGAACGAGTTTCGGAAGTCTGCCCATTGCTTCATGGCTTTGGTCGAAACTCCAGGGTCCCTCCAAATCCAAGGCGAGCGCATGTTTATTCTCATACCTTGAAAGCCGTCCTTCTGCACACTTTTGGTGCTTGGATCGAAAGACTTCACCGATAGCCGCCGCTATGATGAACCACGGTCGTGCCATGATGCACAGGGCCACTGGAATGATGAACCACTGTCGTTCCATGGTGCACTGGACCACCATGATGATGAGCCACCGTCGTGCCATGATGATAGTATCCGTAGGGATGGTACGGAGCAGGATATACTGGATGGTAGGGATGGTACACTGGCGGATGGTAGACCGGATGGTAGACCGGATGGTAGCCAGAACTGTGGTGCACCACCGTAGTGCCATGACCAAAGCCACCGCGGATCCCCGGAGGGTTGTGGTGCACCACTGTGGTGTGGCCAGGTCCATGGTGCCCCGCCACCCAATCGGAGCGGCCGGCTGAACGCTGGAGTAACTCGAGGCGCTCTGGCTGGTGCGAGGGGTCCTCACGCTTCACTGCCACATCAAAGTCCTCAGTGTCGCACACCTGCACCATCTGACGATCGCTCGGGACGTTCAGAAAGCAAAAGACCAGCGAACGTCTCGGCGTGTGAAATGTTCGCCCCAAAAATCATCTCCATAGATTCAAAAGTACAAGATAGTATAAGAAAGAAAAACCCTATCTGCACTAGTCAGGGGATAGCTGCACATTTGGGGGGATTGCGGTGCATATCTCTTTTTCTTCACGTTTGCGGCACCGCCCTGCTTCGTGCCTCGCCCAGCACCGCGGGCAAGAGCAGTGCCCAAGCCATGAGCATGGCGAGCATGGCGAAGGCGGAACAAGGGGGCTGCTGCGGCAAATTGGGTTTCCAGCCACAGCTGCGCGGCAAACATGTTGAACCCGACTTCAAAATCGGAGACTTACACTCCGATGACCAATGAGAACGGCTCGAACAGACCCACTGGAAAGCCAAGGCCCAGCTTAGCACGGCTAAATGGGGAAAAGATTGCACTTTTGAAAGTCTGAAGAAATGCATGGAAATACACTCTCCTGCTGCTTCGGTGGCACTGATGACTGAGGAGTACAGCACCAGGTCCGGCATCACCTGACATTGGACTTGACGACAGCCTTGAAACAGTGAAGATGCGAGCATGGCAGTATCAAAGCAACAGTATCTGCTAGGACGTCAGGGTTTGTTGCATATATCATATGCTTGCAAATTGCAGGCAGTAATCTTGCTGTTCGCTTTGCAATTTTTGAAACACAAGCACAATGCGACCCTGAGCTGACTCTTGTGCAATGGATATAGAACCTGTTGAACTCTCAACAATATTGGCCCATGTCTGTTGGATTGCAAGAGGACCGATAGTGTTGGCAATTGAAAGGTCACCCCACATGCTCAGAGAAGACAACAAGCCCAAGCCTGTTGCCCTTCTGCTTGTCGCAGAAGTTGCAAGGCTTTCTGCCATTGAGCGGCCTTCTCCATGGCTGACACTGCCTGAGAACAACATTCTATAAGTGTCATTGGCCCTCAAAAGTCATTAACCCTCTACAATGCAAGATGAAAGACGATGAATTCTGCAATGAACCAAAGTCTCAAGACTCCAGTATATCTTCCTAGCAAAAAGTGTGCAACGCAATCAATCTTCCAATTTCCACATGTTTCTAGTCCGTTTGCGAATGCCTTGCTCGAAGAGAAGTATATAATTAAAAGTGTTATAAAGAGTCAAACATCATAGAAGAGTGGTTCCTCCACACCAAAGCGATCGTTATAACCCCCTCCATGCTCTCCAGCTGCACAGCTGTATGTGGTCACATTTAGGCATCTCTTCGCCTCTGAAAGTACCGCCTGGGAAGAGCTGCAAGCGATGATCTTCGATGCAACATCGCGATATCACGTCATTTTGGCTCGCTATCGCCCGAAAATCGCACTCCCCAAAACTTCCCGCCTCAGTGGAAAACAATGGAACACATTTTAAACACGTTCTGGTGGTTAAGTGGGTCTTTGAGCAGCAGATTTCTTGTCACCACTGCCCTGGAAGAAACGTCATTTGTCTGTTCCATGTTTTTGCTATGTGGGCCACGCTGGCTGTGTCCGACCGATAGGGGGATAAGGGGGATAGGGAGCATTGTTTGCAGAAGCTAGGTACGATAAAATTCAAAATTTGACCCAAAAAGGATGAGGTCGCTCGGTGCTTGGTGCCAGATGGGGCCGCTGGAAACATGCAAACTCCATCGATCTGCATCTGTTGTTTTAGTCTTGCAGCCAAGCTTCTAAAGCTTGCCGCCACTCCGTCGCCATACCACAAGCCAGAATGCTCGAACTGCAAGCGACTTGGCTTGAAAGATTTCGCCTGCACCAAGGATTTGCGGCTGTGAAAGTACACACCCTGCCCTGCCGACACATTCCCTCATTCTGAGCACAAATGTACCAGCATAGACCCCAAACAGCTAAGTCGGCAAGAATTGTTGTTGTGGTGGTGGGCGGCTGCAGGTTCAGCCCCTGCCTGAGAAAGCAACGTAAACAGCACGACGGCAGCGGGACAACAGAAAGACCACAAGACGACGACGGGAAGAGTACGACCGGAGATAGGCTGGCAGCCGCGGCCAGTGAACACCTGAAGAAGGACAAGAAGAAGAAGAAGAAGGCACGAAAAGATTGCGACAAGAGGAGAAGAGGAGAACATCCGGACAGGGCTCGCCAGCGCGGCCTGACACTGTGCTTCGCTCTTGTTGGCTGGCGCTTTCCCACGAGGTCCCACAGAAAGCTTGCGCGTGTGCAATTGCTTTCTCGAATTGGACCCTTTGATTGCGCTTGGGGGCGAGGCTTCGCGCACGCACCCTGTCATGGTGTCATGTCTACATGCTGCCATGCTGCCATCTGGACACCAGCAAAAGGACAACAAGGGGACAACAGGAGGACAAGAAGATGACAACAGGAGGACAAGAAGAGGACAACAAGAGGAGAAGAAGAGGAAAAAAACAAAGGACAAAGAAAGGAGAAGAGGAGGACAAAGTTGGAAGACTGGCTGGCAGCCGCGGCAGAGCTGCTCAGATCACAACAGGAGGACAAGAAGAGGACAAAAGGAGGACAATGGGACGACAAGAAGAAGCCAAGAGGAGGAAAAGAGACAGAAAAAAAGGACAACAGGAGGACAAGTGGAGGACAAGAAAAGGACAAGAAGAGGTCAAGAGGAAGACAAGAGGAGGACAACAGGAGGACAAGAAGAGGGCAAGAGGAGGACAACAGGGCGACAAGATGAAGACAAGGGGAGGAAAAAATACATAACAAGAGGACAACATAAGGACAAGGTCTGGAGACCAGCTGGCAGCCGCTGCCGAGCTCCAAGAGGACAATGGGGCGACAAGAAGAACACAAGAGGATAATAGAAAAGTAAGCGGACAACAGGAGGACAACGCCCGGACACAGCGTTCACCGGGCATCCTAAGGGGAAGACACCAGTCAGACAATAAGGTCCCGATCGTCAAACGTGAGATGTGCTCTTACTCAACGGCATGAATACTGGGTGGCTTAGTGTTCAGTTGCAAGGACAAACAACAGCTGGACCACCCCGCCTGGTCGCATTGGCCAGGATTGCGCATGCCTGATGTACGGAAAGTATATCACAAGCAAAAAATTGGCGTTCAAAACGAAAAATCGTCGTTCAAGAAATCTCAAGAAATCTCAAGAACCTAGAGCCTCAGGTGGCATAGATGTTGATTTTCGCGGTATCCTCATTTGGGGAAGGAGCGATTTCCTGGTCATGGGCACCCCAAACCCCACTAGTGCACAAGAATCAGCTTGAACAGGTTCACTGGTAAATGGTACCCCTTCATAGAAAAAGAACATGATGGTTACCTACCAGGGTTTTGATCGTCCTGACCTGCTGCCAGCGGTCACGACAAGCGTTGATCGTCACCGCTGTGAGGACAGCATCCACTTGCAGACGCCGTTGCTGCACCTGTTGCAGTGGTTTCGGTGCAGCCAAACGTCTCCACACTCCAGTGAAATGTACGAAGCCGAAGCCGATCACCTTTCAATATAAGACAAAGAACTCTCTTCCCTTAGCCGTGCCTCGCCCAAGAGGGCCACAGCTTGGCGCCAAGCCAACTGCTTGGCCAAGCGGTTTTGGGCGGCGCTCCAGGCAACCAGGTCAGGAACCACAACACCTCCCATTCGTCCCGTCACATCTCCCTGAGGCACCCCCTTTGGGCCTTTGGGCATCTGTATAACGGTCAATGACCCTGAAATGATGATGATATCCAAGTCAATGAAACCAAATGACCCAGGCTTTTGAGACTTGCAGTTTCCACCTCCCCTGAATTTCCTGGCATTTGCCAGATTCCATTGGCCCAGTTGCTGTGCTCCAAGCGATTGAGCAAATGAAGCGCAAAGGTCCAGCCAGCCAGTTTCAGGAGCTGAGTGGCCTTGGTTTCAGGAACTCATGCGCCCAAAAGAACAGGAATTGTCCGAACGCGATGTCTATAGCACCATGTGTAAAAAATATGTGGGGAAGGGAGGCGAACTCCATCGAACACCCCTCCTGCTGTTGCAAATGAAACGTTCCAACTGAAATAGAAACACCATGTGAAGGTGAAAATCAGTGAAAAGGCATTGGCACCAGTGCGGCCGGCAGTCTTCTTTTCGCTTTCGTGCCACATGGCTCCCTGCGAGGATCAACTCCAATCGCCGGGTCGCCTGCGGCAGGTCTTTGGTGACGAAGGATTCCTTCTTTTCTTGAAGAAGCCTGAGCCTGGATGATTTGGTCCTTAGATTTTTGGGGGTAACTGAAATATATCGATACCCTGAAATTGGATCAATCCCGATTGGAAGATAGTGGATGCTCCGATCCGCTCGCCTTCGCGGCTCCCATCCGCGGCCGCCATGGCCATGGCCGCCATGCGAAGCGACAAAGCGTGCGTAAGAGATGGGCGGCGGAGAGCCCGCCAGAACCAAGGCTCGTGGAAGGTACACGGGACTGGATGTGACATGATGCAACTGGAGTGGGACTTGGTGACGGTTCAATCACAAGATGAGGCCGAAAATGTCGTTTTAAAGTGAGACATGGTGAACCATTTCAACCAAATGGGTGGTCACTGCTCCGTTCGCGGCCTCGAATCGCCACAGCTTGCTTTGAGCCACCTTTACGTACACCGTCAGCGGCATTGCTTCCACTACTCTGTATGCTAAGCCGCTGGAGGCACGAACTTGCACCGATTCCAACACGGTTGAAACTTGCCTAATTCCGCCTTGCCACCTTGGCCTGTGCCCCCGCCACCTACAACGTTGGTCTTAGCATAAGTCGATCATGGGTCGAGGAAAGAATCCCCTGCAGGACATTGCACCCAAACGCACGACCGTTCTGCTTCTTTTCCTCATGCAATGCTTCAGCCAGTTGATGCAAGGTGTCCTGATCCGCTGGAATGTGTCGGTGACATCACGTACGGAATACCCTAAGCATCCCTAAGCCTGATGCTGAACTGAGGTATCATCCAGCTAAGCAAACGCCAAAAGCTCACTTCGTTGAACATTCACCGCAAAAAGGAGGGGTCCACATTGGCCCTGATTACTGAGATTCCTGTTCATGGAAGAACATCTTGCAGCTTAGAAGATCCTAACCTCAGAATCTGCGGTCTTTGAGGAGTCCGACCTTTGTCCTCTTTCTCGAAGGAGGCGAACGACAAACACCCAACCGGCCAACCGAGGCGCCAAGGCGCCTCGCAGCTAAAAGGCCGCTCGGTCCACACCAGCCACAAGCGTTGCCTCTCCTCCTCGGCGTGATGCAGGAGACCTTCTGAACGAGCATGGTGGGGTCACTCAAACTACCTCCCTGGTCGATCTGTGAACATGTTCCTGCCCAAAGCGGTCACAGGCTTTGCCTTCTGTACTGTGGCGACTCCCGTCTCCTCACCCGCATCACGCAGCTCTGGTAGGCATTGGAGGAGGGACTCGCGCCTTATTGGCTGAGCCGTTTGATCTACCGATAGCAAGAATTGCAAGAATAGCTTCTTTTGCTGAAGCTGGTTCCAACACACATCTTGGAAAGAGCATCAAATCCAAAGCCTTGTACTCGTGGTGCTCTCGGCTTCCTTGCAATCGAGCATCAGAAATAGTACTTCTGACCACACCTCGTGATGTGAATGATACCTCCACCACCCTATCGAGCATGAGGAGACCAGTGAGCGCTTGTCCATATCTCATGAGTCTGATGTTCAGCTTCTGTCAGCATCATCTAGTCTTACTCTTCCTCACTTGGGCACATTGTGAGTCCAAAAGTCCATGCATCGGCAGTCCCTCAAAAAGCCCTAACACTTCATGAGATCCTCAGTCGCTCCATGAGCCTCCAGTTGCTTCTCCCCGTCGGCCCCGCTCATCTGGGCTTCCCAGCAACGCGATCTCGGAGCCTTGGACAGCAAATTGAGACCTGTCCACCACTCCCCGCAGGTACCAGGGGAGGCCAAAGTTCAACAGAAGGGTGGGGCAGTTGTTCTTCCTCTTCTGAGCCACTCACGAAGTAGCAAAACATCTCGGGTGAGGTCCTGACATTGCGGATCGTCCACATCTGACCATTGACATCCCACCCCCTGACGTCCACGTCGGTTCATCAGTTTTCCACGTTTCCGGGACACAGTCTTCGACCTATGACGGTGTGGATTTGACTTCGCGCAATGGACCAGGGACAATGGCCATTGCCATCTCTTCCAGGGATCAGAGGAGGTGGTGCAACTAGATGATCCACCAGTTGTTGTGGGTTCCTCGTGTTCCTCTTTGCATTTGACCTTCTCTGACATAGACCGTAGACATTCGATGAAGTATGTGCTTCGACTCAATTAGGCATGGTTAAAGAGTGAGCATATCGCCCGCTCCTTGTGTCCTCCCACCACCTTGATGACATCACAGGCTTCTGCCTACCGCTGGCGAGACAAGTCCCAAAAAACCTGACGTGAGCAGTCTTCTCTTTCATTTCTTCTTGCTCCTAGTAGTATGGCCAGGAGCCCCTAGTAGCGTCCATTTGGTAAGTTTGTCCCCACATGTTGAGACCAATTTTAAATCCAACATCTGAGCATCCCTCGATTTCGTCTGATCCATCCCTGCTTGACCAGATCCTGTAGTCCTGATGGTTTTGCTTGCCTCGTGGCAAAATCATGAAACAGAATGCTTGGGGACATCGGTTTTTAAGGAATGCCAAGGCATGCCGCATGCCAAGATAGATTGCGCCAGTTAGTCTTTTGCAGATCCATCCCCAACAGGTCGCACCGCTCGAAAAGTAGCAGCACAAAGAAACCGCCGTTGCACCGTTCACGTGTGTCACATCGCCTCAACGAGTTCCTTCATGGAATCTGCCAGGCTGGACATCTCGGCCTGGCAATCCAAGACCAAAAGCTGCAGACCTCCACCTGGCAGTAGCGTCCTTGCTACTAGTAACAAGGGCATCGCTACTAGTAACAAGGGCATTACTACTAGTAGCAAATAGCTACTAGCAAATTAGCGTAGCGATGCCAGGAGCTACTAGTAGCGTCCTTGATCCTGGTAGCGATGCCCTTTGTTACTAGTAGCGTCCTTGCATGCAAAAACCTTGGAAAACCTGAAAACCCTTATATATTTGCATGATCTGAGTGGTCACGCAAATTCTGAGACCTTCCAATCTCGACTCTTTCGCGAACATGATCTGAGCACCCTTCCAGAAATGGTCTGCGGGAACCGGTATGTTTGCTTTCGGTCATTCAGGGACTCATGGAGGCCTGTCATGGCTGCTGCCAAGTGGTTCAAGCCCGGAACCCCAGCTGCATCAAGCCTGCATCTTTGTCAGGTCTTGGAACGCAGCATCATGAGTCCTGCAGCAAAGTTTTTTTCCCTTGGTCCTTTTGGGAGAGGGGATGCTGGGGGCATGGTCGGATCAAAGAATTTCAGCTAGGATGCTAGATTTGGCGCCATGGAAGTCATTGAACATCCAGTGGTTGACCCCCTCAACTGTTGGTTGAACCGTTAAAGACATCTGAACCTTCAGAAGAATGGACCAATCTTCTGTCTCTCAAAAGTGTTCAGGAGCAGCTTGGTGTTTTGTCAGTATTAAAAGGTAGCACTGCGCTTGATGCCCGAGATTCTCAGATGACGCCTCAGCAGCTTTGTGCGGGACAAGGAGAGCGCCTGCAAGAGGAGTGTTGGCGGAGGACTGCGAAAGCACAACAATAGTACAAAGTTAATTGTTAAAGTTTACAAGGGTGTTGGCTCATTAAACAGCAACTTTGCAAGGGTCATTGCGAGTCTGCGACACCTTGAGCCGTGGGCGCTTAGCTTAGCAAACTTGTCTACAGTAACGTGGCACTGAATCATACTTTAACAGTGTCTCCCAAGAGCAATTCTGATGAGAACCCGTTTCTGCCAAGTCGTCACGTCACTCGAGTTCCAATGCTGCTGGATGGCCATGACACTACACCACTAGTGATTCGGTCAATGCAAATGACCAGGTTGGACCGCCTTTGGTAGCCACTTACTCACACAAAGGATTCTGCAAACTCCTCTCAAAAAGCCAGGCCACCCAATTCAAGCCTCCGTGTTGAGACCCGCAGTCCCCAACCTGCAGTTAAGGCTAGACTAGCCTGGCTACGACTATTTGGGCGTGGAATGGACTGGTAGAGGTGGAATCTGGGGGATCAACCGCGGTCCACCTTCGCCTCAAAAATCTTCTTTACAGAGACCAAGCAAGAGAACAACATCAGGTCGCCAAATAAATAGGTGTGCCGGACCCCACGGCAGCCATAGTTTCAGTGGGCCATAGCAGGCCATAGCTGTCTATCGGGTTCCTCTCGCCCTCTCCAAGGTTTCGGCAAACCCACATGCTCATCAGAGAGGTAGTCCAAACGCCTCATTGATTGGTGCAAAGCAAAGCAATCAAGGAAGGATCCCTGCAGGCTAAAGAAACTGAAAACGATCCAAACTCTGCATCTCTGACATTCGGCCATAAGGAGTGGACGTCATGCTATCCAGCACTTGCTTCAATGCATTCGCGGATAGCTTCTCGGCCGCCTCCCAAAGGGGTTCTTTGCAATAATCAAAAAAACTGGAGATCGCCAAGGATTGGCTCGTAGAAGGTGGACTAGCAAATCTTGCGGTCCTTTGTCGAGATTGGAAAGTCACAGTGACCTTTCTGGAAGGAAACCCCCATGCGTTCTTACACTCGGGTCTTAACCGCTGTGTTCTTTTTTTCACGGCGTTCGTCTAGTTTCGGAAGGACCGTTTCCCAGGAAGTCACCGGTTCAAGCGGTCCATGTAGCATCTAGACATGTTTAGTGCATGTTGCTTTTCATAGGAGCATTCTTCTTTCGAGCACCGTGTTGAATGCACTCTAAAAGAAGAATTGCAAGGTTGTTGTAAGCTTGTCAACTGGATACGAGCTCGCTGAGCTTTGCTAAGCTTTTGCAAGCTAAACCTCACCGAGCCTCCCATTGGCGCAGAAGCCTCCACAGCTGCTGCCTCTGGATCCCAGCGTAGATGATGCTAAAAATGTTCACCCACGGCCAGGGTCAGAATTGGACGAATTACTGTATGTACATGTAAATTCGCCATCCAATTGTGCTCAAGTGTGCTGAGCTTGATCATGGCGTTCGTTTAAACCGGGATGTGGCTGACCTGCGAGGGTCCATGGCTCGAAGCTCGCACACGTCCCACGTGGATGGTCTGATTGTCTGATGGTCCTTCCTCCAGCTGAGAAATCGTCTCAAAGGATCACGTTGCTCTTCCTTGCTTCGGTGTTTTTCTCTAAGAAAATGGCCCCCTGACTGAAAGCTTGGATCAGGAGGTGAGGAATGTCTCTATATATACTGTATTCTTCTCTGGATGCAGCTGACGAAGGCCATTTGGATTCGCTCCAGGTAATGATGCCTGTCAAGATTGAACTTCCTTTCGAGGCATTTCCCTGAACGAATGAAACTTTGACTTTGATTGTCAAAGGATGGCAACTGGAGATAAAGAGAAAAGACGGCGTATGAACAAAAGTCGTGAGTTGCAAAATGGCTCTGGTTCCACAACGGCGCCCCTCTTCATACCGAGTTGATGAAACTGTTGCAAAGCTCTTCCAAAACAACATGCTGCTGCCTGAGAGTAGAATCATGTCTGTGCAGCTGCAAGGATCAAACTTGTAGAAATCCGACTAATCTTGGGAGTCGAGTCTTCCTATTCAGATGCTCTTGAGGGCGCGCAGCGCGCACACTCGCGCTACTACGAATTACAGTGGTATCATCCGTGTTGGACAGGTGCTGGAACAATAAGAAAATATGGGAGATCGAGTCATGCAGGTTGTTGTCAATTCAACGGAGCGGTAGGGACTGTGCCATGCTATGCCCATTTGCAAAGCAATCTTTTGGAATTGAAGCAACTCAGGTGAAACCTGTGCTTTTTGATGCAGATGTCTCAAACTTGGAAGTCTGGAAGGGGTTGATAAGTTGATAAGGATGAATTGTGCACCGGTACTGCCTTGTCTGCACCAATCAGCTGCCGGTCGTGGCTTTGAGACATCCAAGGCGCTATGAACACTAACAAATCTACGCGCGCAATGCCAGCATGCTCATGCTGGTCATGCCGGAAGTTCGGTGAGGAGTTCAAAGTCCTCTTCACTCACCTAAGCGTCACTGAAAGGCGGGTCCGAGTGGAACCCCTTGTGGAAAGGGACAGTGTCTCAATGTTGGTATTGACAGCCTCAAGTTCTAAAGGAAGGTATGATATTCACGGTATCGTACAGTACTAGCCTACTAATTAGCCCTTTGAAAAAAGAAAAATAATAAAACATAATAGGAGTCAGAAGTATTTCTTGTCAGAAGTCAAATCATCTCGCCCTCATCAAGAGGTACAATCATTCCAGTCTCACAAATACTACCTCCAAGTGACAAAGGACTTCATAAATCCTTAGTCATCAGAACCTAGTATATTACTAGGAGCAAAGGGCATCGCTACGAGGAGATTTAATGCTGTTTTTGTTGGAGATTTCTAATTCGTCTGTTCTTCACATCGCCCATCTGCGATGGATCCGGTCGGCGGCCTCAAAGTCCTTCAGGATGCGCGCGGCGGTGGGGGAAGCCGTCACTCTCAACAGGTAACCATCGCTGGTGTGTTCCTGGCAGAACACCAAATGGTTTCGGTGGATCGGCTTACGAGATTGCAGTGTTTGACCATGTGGTGTTTGCTTGACGTCTGGCCTGGCTGTTTGGCACATTGATTGAGGCCTCTTTTGATTCACCGACCAACTAATCAGGTGCCTATCCAACTGACCATGCGCGCCGGAAACAAACGGCACAGGGAAACACCTCGGTGTTGATCTTCACCTGCTGATCGCCACTCTTCCTAACGAAGATTTGGGTCTGGACCCCGGACACACACATGTGTGTTTCCCCAAGCACAGCTCAAGCTGTCTCTAAGTAAAGCTCAAGCTGTCTGATCTCATGCGTTGTTTCGCCGTCTCAAGTGTTTTTCACAGCATCTTCCCGCTGCGGTGTGCTGTGTGATCCCCTCTCAGGGCGCCGTTTGCTGGATTCTTCTCTACTCTTCAGCTGTTCAATTCGATGCGTATCGTCTTCCCACTCATGCTCTCAGCACAGATTCATTTGATGCCAAGTTTCATCTGAGCATAGATGGAGGAATCGGTGTATGGAATCTTGGCTCGGCGAAACGAATGGATGGGTGACATGCTTCATAGCACGTCTTATGGGTCTTATACTCCCATGAGTGAAGTAGGGCAACAAAAGCATGGAGATCATCCTTTTGATTGATTCCGTCAGAAACGGCTTCAGAAAAAGAATAAAGAACTGAAAGAGCAACATCTCAGTTTTGGGGACAATAAAGAACTGATAGGAGGAAACCAAAGATGGAATGGTTGAGTTGACTCCTGGACACTGAGACGTTGTAAAGATTGTAGAGTAGTCAGGGTCCTAAAATGAGTCTGCCATTTGCCGTCCTCGTAACATACGAGCCTCTTGGGACTTCAAACACCAAAATACTAGGAACAAGAAGCGACTAGTAACAAAGGGCATCGCTACTAGGAGCAAGGACGCTACTCGGGGCTCCTGGCCTTACTACTAGGAACAAGCAGCTACTAGGAACAAGAAGCCACTAGTATATCTGTCCATTTTCAGCACCACATGGCCCACAAAGGTCGTTCGGCAGTGGTTCCAGCGCTGAGGTGCCAGGAGCCGCAGTTGTGCAGCACCATAGTCGGTGTGTTTGATGAGGGTGTCTTCAATAGCCTAGAGTCCGACAAAGGCGGTGGTGGCCAGCAGTGTGCGGTCAAGCAGCTAAGAGACGAGAAAAAGAACACCTTGTGTTCGATGTTGTTTACTTTTGATTTGAGCAAACGAGGGCTTCTGGAACATTGATGGGACTTCTCAAAATCCAGGAGGTATCAAAACGTGTCCATCCACTCAAAAAGAAGGGTGCATCTGGTCTCGCTTCAACCTAACCCAGCATGGGGGAAACCAAGCTATTTCCAGCTTTTAAAGACGTGTCCAGGTCCAGATATCCCATTTGAATCCATTTGATGTGGTGTGTGACAAATGTTTACATCTTGCCAGTAAAAAGCCAACGACTAGGTCCCCACTCAACATCCTCCAACGACTCCCCCATGCTGCCATGATCTGCCTCCGCCAAGGCATGGAAGCCCGTACCCTTTAAGGCAGAGATCTGGCGAGGCTGGCCGTTCTTCGGCCCCACCAGCCATCAGCCGAGGCCAAGTGGACATCACCCAAATGGACTCTGATCTAATGACATGAACTAGAACAATGATCTAAGTTGACCAACCAAGCAGCTACAATACCAACCAACTGAAGCAGGAACTGCTACGTCGTAGCTTCCTGGCTGGTCATACAGTTGTTGACGGGGTGCGAATACAAGGATGGCACGGGTGCGTCGCCCTGAACATTATCTTGGGCGAGAGATTTACTTACAGTATCTTTGAAACACGTCGCATTCTATCAATCCTGGCATCCTTCAGAAATGCCTAATGTGCGCCACCAATTTGCAAGGCTTGATCTCTCTCATGCAGCCTTTGCCCTGCTTTTTGCATGACGGCTCTTTTTGCCTTCGACGTGCGATCACACACCAGGATCCTACCAACATGCTTCCGGTTGCTGAACAAAATTGAATGAACAGGAGGTGAGCAATTGAGCTCATCTTGAGCATTGAGGATGGTTCAACTCCCATCAATCAAACCAACCCTCTCTCACCCTGCCATCTGCCTGGACATGCCCCACGATACCGGGATGTGGATAGCTCAGGCCTCACATTGGGTTGAAGTGGACAAGGACAAAAGGCTTGTTGGGAAGCAGCCGCCATAGCGTGCTTGCTTCTCGCGCCGTGCACATTTTCTTGGAAATCTGACTGCAAATCGTATTCTTTATTTGGTCTGCTGATGCGCCATACAAACACACTGTTGCTCTATCCGACTCTATATCCATTGAACACTGGCCAACAGCATCAAGAACTGGATGGTGTTCATGCTTCACGGGGCCCTTGCTTTGCTCTAGCTCTTCAGCTATTCCTCCTGGCGTGAGTGAGTGGCTTGGTTTGACACCTCTTGGCAGAAAAACTGAGAGGGCCATCCCAACAAATAGGAAAAAGAGACGTAGCACGATCAGAACATCCCATTGGCTTGGAAAGTTAGAGTGGTCATGGTTGGATTTGTAACACACAAGTAACCCAAATTGTGTTTTGAAATACTGACGACGATCTTCCTTCGGTTTAGGATGCTACCATGAACACCCAAATCAATTTTGGAGACTCTTGTTTCCAATGACCATCCCAAACTGAGTCTGAGCAATTGTGCCTAGCAAGCCAAGCCTTTTGCTGGGACCGTTGACATTCACACCTTCTACCCAGTATCACTACTTATTGCCGGGTTAGATCTCCAAGCTGGAAGCAGGATGCTAGCAGAATCAGCCAAGTGGGCACTCATTCTTCATTTTGCCAAGTGCATGGTCCTACGACAATCAATGAGCCCGATTTAGTGGCAGGTCAAGGTCTTGAAGTGTTTAATCATGTGGCGGCTTACAGTTGGCTGTTTGGATTGTGAGCGTTCAAGTCCAAAACGACTCTGGAGAAATGATGTCACTACCCTGCTTCCTTTGGTCATCTTTTGTGGAATCCAGACTGATTCACATCGAAAGAACATCCTGTACCAGTCCGAAATCTTCCAAGCCCAAGCCTACATTGTGATCAGGTACTGCGCATTGAGGACAAAAATGAATTACTATCATTCTCACAACACAAGACCCTCAGCACCTGATCAAGCAGACTCAGCCTTTCCCATCCACCAGGGTGACGAAGGTTGCACGCATCCTGCCTTCCAGTTTGTCCACCTTGTTGTAGACCATGATCTGCGGAGTATCCCTGGCTGAGCTGAAGTCTCAAAGACGCCGGCTGAATGTCTTAACCAGGTCACGGCGTCCCCAGTCCACTGGCCAGCTGTGCGGCTTGAACTTCGGCAGCCGCTTCAGCGTCTTCAACACACTGGCGATCTGGCGGCGAAGACTCGCCCTTCGCCCGTCAACTGAGTGTTGTTTCCAAAGGGTCAAAAAGTGAGACTGAGACTTGTTGTGCCTTATATAGCCAAGTAACCAAGTAAAAACATTGTCATTTTCAGATTCCTTTCGGTTGTGATGCGGAGGCATGTGAGATTCCTCATTCGAAACTCTGTTTGTGCACGCTTTCCCAAATACGTGCTCTCACACTGGATGTACTGTATCTCCCTCAGGGTTTTGCAAGTGCGATTGTCGGAAGACATTTGGAGCAAGCCAAAGAAACAAAGATTGGGGAGCCATGGAGGATGAAGTGCCTAAGTGTGGGATGAACAGCATTTGTGAGCTTGCAGACTGGCTCATTGAGACATTTGCTTGCCTTTTGACGGTGGAAGGTTGGAATGCTGAAATATGCAAACGATTTACTATTGTATTAATTTGACCTCTGAAATCAATAACTGAGGCGCAATGTGCTAGAACAAAATGGTCAAGATGCGATCCATATAAGGCAGGTGAGCATGTTGGCTCTCATCACCCTGCAGGTCGGAGGTACAGGGCGGCAATAACCATGAGCTTGGAGCACCTCTACCCGTTCCTTGAGATTTTTAGGGAGTTGGCGAGATTGCTCGAGATACGGGAGTTGTGTTTGCATCTGGCAGAGACCAAAACCTCAACGTACACAACCGCACAAGGTCACAAGGGCATGCAGAAGCTAGCGTTCCATGCTTGCAAGTACTGACCCAAAGGGCCTAAAGGGCCCAAAGGGCCTGGTCGTGGTGGAGCCAACATGTTCAAGGCAAACCTGCTACCTGTGATATGGCAGGCCTGCTGAGCAGCAGTTGGAGAAGAGACGTCCACCACGTGCAGGATCATGGTCGTCTGGCGCACACATGAAAACAAATGGTCCCAGGGACCCAATCAAGCTGTGACAGGCCCGAACAAAGTCCTACCTGTAGTGCCTGGATCATCCTTAGCTTTAGCCTGGATCATCCATCCGATTGTCCTCTCAGTTGGTCACGCCTCAACCACCTCCTCCAAAGTGGCCCTGAAGCCTGCGACCAGCTGCTCTGGAAGCCTGTCATGCCAACAGATTAGCTGCCCTAATTGAGAACCTCTGCGGATGGGTTCTGAATTTCTGGGGTTTCCCATTTGGGGAGCCATCAATGTACTTGGCACATGTTGATCCTTTATCTGCAAACAAGCTGCCAGCTTTTTTTGGCAGCTACAGAATGTCTGACCAAAACCGATACCTGGCCCTTGTCCGCTTGCGCCTCTGGATGAAACCCACCTGCCATGGAGGCGAGCTCTGAACGCACTGCGCGGCTTCACAGTGTTCCTCTGAAGCTCCAACCAAAATACACAGGTCTTGCACCCGGAATACACAGAATCCATGGCGGTCTCTGTGTTCTTCTTTTACAACCATCTTAGCCAATGAGGTGGCGAGTACAGCTTTTGGTGGCAACTCAGGCAGCATCGCTGTGTCTGCCAGCATCACGGTGCGGCCACCTGCAAGCAGTCCAAGCGAAGGACTCCAGATGCAGTGGATCAGTAAATATGATACATAGGAGCAACAGTTTGACTACTGCCTTCGAACAAGCCTCGAACCAGCTTTTAAATGCAAGCAAGCTCTTCAAGTCAGTTCCACGTGAATTCTGCCATGGCTGTAAGTCAGAATGTTCTAGTGTTCTAGTTCAACCAGCAACACTTCAGACGCGTTTCCCTTCCATACCCCCTCCACCAGTTTTGTGCTTCGGCCTGGCAGCGTGACCGAGCGTCGTGTGGGGTCCAAGGTCTCAAAGAGACGATCCTGAGCACAACGATCCCTGCGGTTCACCCGTTCATCGCGGGTCTCAGGAACGGAGGAACGTCGGATCGTCTGACCGTTGATTTTGCATCGACTCATTGTTGGTCAAAAATTAGATCTTGCTGACTCGCATTCCCCCACCCCAGGCTTCCAATGATATCTGCCAAGACCAAACAGTCTCTATTCCATGGCTAAGTCATGGTGAAATGGCCGTCGAACAAGGATGAGGATGGAAGGCTCTGAGCATACAAGCCCTGAGCTGTCCCCCCAAAAGTACTCCTTGCATGCCCGAAAAGCTCGGGCACAGACCTTGGTCTTCACCTGCAAGGCAAGGGCTGAACATGGTTGGACGTGTTTCCATCAAATGGACTCCAAGTATTTTTTGTTGCCTTCCACGCAACTTGACAACCAGAAAGCAGAAGCCCGCAATAAACAGAGTACGATAATCGAATGCTCAGCCTCAGTACTTTGTGCCAAAGCATTCATCAAGGTGGACCTCAGCAGTCTCGTCAAACAAAGAAGCCCCTTGGGTTGATTCTTTAAGAATGGAAAGTAGATGAGTTTAGCCCTTGGTTTGAAGATGATCAACTGGTTTGAGACAATGTCAGTTCAAATAGCAATCATATCCTTTTCGCCTGTGTCTCAAAATGGTGTCACCCCTGAACCAGTGAAAGGACATCTACTTTCACTAGATTACTTGTCCAACCCTCCAGTCCGAGAGAGGCAGCGACTTTCCAGCATTGGTGTATCCCACCTGAGGAAGGCATGAGAAAGGGTGTACACCAGAGTCTCTAGAGAAAGCACGCCCTGAAAGGGTGTACACATGTGTACACTCTCTCAGATGCCCTATTGGCCACCCAAATGACTCCTTTGTAGAAAGTGAGGCCTCACTGAAATCAAGCTTCAATGCAAGCTGCAAGCATATGTAAGTCATTTGCAAATGATATCTTTCTAGACAGGCTTCCTCACTGGCTGAGTTGCGGGAACTCTTGGTAACAGCATTTTGCCTGGCATGTCATTGTTTCTGATCAATGTTCCATCCCAATGCCGGATTCAGGGAACTGGCTAATGAAATGATGGGCAATCCAAGCTCCACATGACCTCAGGCGACAAGTGTCGAGTTGGAGCACCCAGGTCGCAACGGGATCTCTTTGGTGGTTTCTGTGTCGGGTCCTGAACATTGCATCCTTCAATGCATAAAGGTGTATCCCCATCCTTGCCTTATTGGGAAGTGCAACACATCTCCTTGCTCATGATCATCATCAATATTCAATATCATCATTAACATATCCTTCGCATCATGTTCATTATCCACTCATCAAACTGCACCCTCACACCAACTCTCTCGGGCACCGGTCGTTCACGCTGTCTTGCCCGCACCTTCCGCACCTTTGCGTAATGAAGCCGATAGAATCGGATGATGAGATGATAACCTTGTCCAAAAAAATACCAAGGCGTGCAGATGAAGTGCTTGTTTTTGTTCTTGCCCCTGATCCATGAGTCAGGGTCAATTCTTCGTGCAAAAGGGTGCAACACCCAAGATCATCTAAGCACCGACAAAATGTGGTTTTTGGTCCAACAAGTTCGGAGACAACAGGCGTGCAACTTGAGAGTGCTTTGGTTTAGTACGCGACGTCGACATCCAGCTTGGAAGCGGCCAAGTTTTGACCGGGCCTCCTCCAGCTGTTTGGTGCAGGCTGCAATCCTCCGCTTCAACAAGGTCCTCACGGTGCGTTGCAAAAGCAACGTGCCAGACCCAATGGGGTGCGCAGCCCAGCTGGATGTCGGCAGAGATCAAAATTTGTGACCCAGCGACTCCCAAAATGCCTTACAGGTCTTTGGGCCGTTACATGGGCCTTTTTGTTACATCAAAGCTCTCGCCCTTCTTATTTGGAGGTTTGAAGAGAAGTTGCCCTCCACAGAGTGATGAAGTCATAAAAAGAAAGGAATTTGCTGTTCCTTCTGGATTTTGTTGTCAATGTTTCACCATGATGGCAGAATCGGCCACCCATGCTCCTGTCCATCTGCAACTGGGTCTCTCCTTTTCCTGCACGCACTGGCACGAGAGTTGCTTCCACAAGACTGTACAGCTGCTGGTGATAACAAATCACATCACCTCCTTGATGTGTCCTGCACCTCATGAGAATTGTCTTTTCTCATAATTAAGAGTATATAGAACCAGTTGAAAGGCCAGTGCCAGAATACCTCTTCGAGGGAATCTGTAACTGCACTATGCTGGCATGAACCTTCAACCATGCCATCAGCTTCACTGCAGCAAATTTGGGCTTCCCCTTCCGAACTCTTGCAAAGAAAAAAGACATGGCAATGGCATGCTTCAGATTTAGGTATTCGACTTGTTCGTCGAATCTGGAGTTTCTTGTACGAGGGCCAATTCGCAAGTTCCAGCTTGCATCGCTTCCACACAGGCTTGCCCGCCTTTTAGATAGGCGCCGCCGCCCGAGGCAGACTGAGCGAGAAGTCATCGGCAGGGACTACGCATCTGTTGTTAGAAGCAGGGATGCCACAGGTAGGATGTTCCAGCAACAACTCCGAATGCTTTTCTATCCTCATCACTCCAGTGTCTCCGCCCTTCATCCAAGAATCACTTCGCCTCCAGCTGTCCATCTTCCCATGTGCCCGACAAGTGTCCGGACCCCTCCAGCGCCAACACTACCACCTTGGGCTTCCATGCCAGCGCCCTGGCAGCAAAGTTTTTTGGAGCCCTTTCTGACCAAAGTTAATCTTGTTGGTGGACTGCACAAGATAAGTCAATGTGGGAAGATCGAAGGGAAACATAATAACTAGATCAAGGCCTTGTGATTGATGTTGTCTTATTTTGATGACCCACCACTAAAGCCTGAGTTCTTTGAAGCCTGAGTTCTTTGGTCAGAAGTAAGACTCGCTTTGCTCACTGATTTGCAAGCCCTTTCTTGTCGGTTCTTTCCTTAGAGCAGGAAGCTTACATGGAGAAAAATGACCGATTGCAAAACCAACAAAAGTACCATTGCAGAATCTGGCTAGATGACTAGAACTACAACGAAACAATGGCTTCTCCTTGTGCCACATCTGAGACAAAATGGTCCCCTCATCGCGATTGGCCCATTCTCTCCCACCGTGGTCAGGTAGTACCGGAGGCGCGGCAACATGTAGCGCTGGCTCGCAAGCCTGAGGGCTCACAATCCGCTCACAGGTCCGAGAAGGCTCAACTGCTTTTGGAGCCGAGGAGCCATGAGTTGAGGGAGGCAGCTGCTCAACAGGGAGTTGTGCCCTGAGCACACCCAACTAATCGTGGAGAGCCAAGCTTCCGGCAATGGGGCTTGGGAGTGAAAACCACTCGAAGGGGCTTGGTCGGGCATTCCCTTCCGCTGATCAAAGCCCAGACAGTTGCCGGGACAGTCTCTCTAAGAAAAACGCACTGTGCGGATGTCATAGGTTCTGGAGGATTGAGAAGTGCGAATTGCCCCGCCACTGTCTTGTCAGATCCTCTTTCACCAGCAAGCAGCTTAACTTGAAGTTTGGCTTCCTTTGTCCTCGCTCTTTGTGCAAATATCCTGCGAATGGAACAACAGGCCAGACTGCGGTGGGGTAACGAGCAGTCGAAAGTCTGAGAAGGTGGGCAAAGGCTGAAAGCATGCGTCTTGTCTGTGCAGGTCAAGCATAGCCATGTCTATCTGAAGGGTTTGGTGTAGTTTAGTGTTGGTACCAAACACAGGGCGTTTGCTGTGAGGTTTTGACGCAAATCTTCGTCAGCTGATCTTTCTTCGTCCTGAGAATCAAAGACGTCCGGTCGAGGATGACGCCTGGCAAGTCAGAAATGACCTGGAGGAAGGAACTCATATACACCCAGTCTACTGCAACAGAAGAAAAGAACCTAGTAACCGTCCCAGTCAGGCAGTGCAGGATTCTGTCTACTAGTGTCACCCAAAAATACAAATCATCTGCCTTGCAAACATTGCAGATCTCACATTGTGCAGTAGCTCTGGGACAAATATGTACATACCAGTAGACTGCTCAGCCAAAGGCTGTAGGTCTGTCTTCCTTTTTTTTCAGGAATGCTTCGTCCAACCAAAGACATCAATGCCGAATCGCTCGGTACTGCACTGAACCATCAACTGCGCCAGGTCGACATTCGCCGTTGGGCCTTGTTCGGAATCCGCTTGGCTCCATGACAGAGTAACAAGAAGCTACTAGGGGCTCCTGGCATCGCTACTAGGAGCAAGGACGCTACTAGGGGCTCCTGGCCGTACTACTAGGAGCAAGAAGCTAGTGGTTCATGCTCCATAGTCTCTGATCATGCAAGGTCAGGCCACCGATCAGGAACCTTTAGAATCATATTGTTTCTAATTGCTTTCTTGTTAGTACTAGTAAGGCACTTGTTACTACTAGTAAGGCACCTTGCTACTAGTAGCTTTCTTGTTCCTAGTAGCGATGCACCTTGTTGTTGAAGTCTCACATCACCTTGATTCCAAAGGTCAACAATTCATGAAAATAGGTACCCTACCATCCAGTTTGGTATACCACATTATATATCATTGTATCACCACCCAGTTATGGCACCACCCAGCTAGTCAAGCTCATTCTCTACGCCTCCCGGTGAGGTGGGCAATGCTCTCTTTTGCCCGTGGTGTGTCAGGCTGTGCCAGTGAATTAGGGCCCCTGCGCAATTCGACCCTTGAGCGTCATCAGCATCCGGTAAGACATGTCCTCTGCCAGGTAGAACATAGATTTATCTGATTCAACCAGGTGCTTGTGAGTCAGAGTCGCAAGGTGGATGTTTATTCTCCAACATTCAGGTACCTACTGCAAGATTGCAGTCCAATCAGGTCTTTCAGGAATTGACAGCAGCGGGTACTACCCTCGTGGGAGCCGTCCTCAACACTTCCAGCCATGATGTCTGACGGATTCTCTAAATTCAACATAAAATCTGTAAGATACTTTGTAAACCTGAGATGCCTTGATTCAACCCCTAAGGCCCTAAGGTGGTATGAGATACCAAAACACCAAAGTCACGGGTCTTCAGCCAAGGTCTCCTGGTCGAAGACCACCACCCCGATTTCAGGGTCGTACTTCACCTCTGGCTTGATGGCCGTGTGGGCCGTGTGGGACTGCCGTAGGGAGGTCTCCGCGGTGTTGATCCCCAGGTCTCTCGTTTTGAACGGTTCGTTTTGGACATAAGGAAAATGATGAAAGAAGAAAGAACGCGTATATACTTGCCTCGAACCTAACAGCAATGGCCTCCAGCCTAACAGCGATGGCCTCCAAACTAATAGCAATTTTTACACAGATCTTGGGCCTCGGGAATCACATGATTTCTGCGAAGCTTCGTCGAGCGACATGGTCCCCTCTTGCACTTTTCCAACCTTATCAGCTGCAATGTGTACAATTTATATATATATATACAGTAACACAACTCCAAACAGCCAAGACTCCTTTTTGGGGCTATCCACTCATCCATCCCATCGTAATCCATCCACCACTCCATCCGTCTGACCCCGAAAGACTGTTCTTTTGGGGCGCCTGTTGCCTCAACTCCTCTGCCTTTCCGCTGCCGATGGGCAAACGCCCCTGGGTCGGCCTCCACCTGAGCAACAAACAGACTCAGTGTTCGGGCACAGCGGCACAACAGGTGGTCAAGTGCCCACAAACCCGAGAAACTAAATGGTCTTTGGCGTTCACGCTACCATTCGCCAGGACAACGCAGCAAGTCGCTTCTGAGCACTTCACTGTTGCAGCACGCACTCCTTCACCTGGCAAAGCTCGAAAATCTGATCGACTTCAGAATCTACTCTGTACCAACCTGGGAATTTGGATGGAATTGGTGCCTGTTCCATTCCTCCATTATATCTCAAAGTTTCACGTCCACGTTTTTTATGGCCCAGCGGAGTGCTGCTGGAACTGCACTCCCAACAAACCAAAGTGTTTCTTGGTTCGCTGAGAAACACGGTCTTTGATCAGCCAGGACTTGGTTCCTTTCATGACATGTTTGAAGTCTATGCATCTCCTTCAAAACCATCGTTCCAGCACACAATAGATTGCATTTCCAAAAAGACTCGAGCAATAAACGGATCGAAATCTACACATCTTCCACTCCTCTGGGGCATATTTCTGGAAGCTCTTTTGAGCCATGCATACAAGAACACGGCCCGACCTCAAGGCCCAAGGTCTTACAAAGGCCCTCAAGCTCCTCCATCGACTCCTGTGGCACACCCCTTTAGAGCTGTGAGAGTCTTTTTTGTCAAACCTGCCGACCCATACAAGCTAGCAGCTCCCAAACAAGATGTTGAAAAAAATTGAACAAAAAGGACCAGGTATCACTTCTTGGTGTTCAAGGAGAACGGTTCTTGTTCTCATCCCATGATGCCATGCCATGCCATACCATGAGGCCGACTGGGTGCCTCGGGTGAGAAGCTCGGCCCGTCTGGGCTCGCAACTCGGTTCTTGCGACCAGGATCCCAGCCTTGACGGGAAGAGCACGGCGCACGGCTTGAGAGGTGACTCACCCCAGTCATGCACTCGCCAGTCCACTTCTAGTAGCGAACATTGCTCCTAGTAAGGCCAGGAGCCCCTAGTAGCGTCCTCTTGTTCCGACCCTCTTCGGGACCAGCGATTGTGATTCAATCGTTAAAGCAATGTCGTTCCTGGAACTCGAGATGACTACAGTGCATTCGGATGCCCAAGCTGCAGCATATCGACTTGGATCCCCCACCGACAATGATGGCCTGGCCATGTGCCAACGATGATGGCACTACAGCTCTTCAGATGGCTCTACATATGGCCAGCCGTTCTTGAAATGGCTCATCTTCAGCCATTCTTGAACACCGACTTCCAGCTCTTCAAATGGTCTACAGCTTCAAGAAAGCCTTGATGGTTGTCATCCACGAGTTGTTTGACCCACAGACGATGGAGCCTAGGCCCTCCTGTCTGATGTTTGGGTGGACAATCTAGCCGTTGGCACAAACCAGGCTCACCAAGTTGAATCATCACACTGGTCTGACTCAAGTGAACTCCACCCAGTATTCGGGATGGTTGCCTTAAGAGATATGGTACCCAAACCCTCCAACACGGGAATGTGGTCATCCCGTTCTGCTTTCAAGATATCAACATCGGTTGCACGAGGATAGTTGAGACTCCAGACCTTGGAGGACAGAACCCTCCACAGCTTCCACTTCATCTACCCATTTCAGCTTTGCCATGCTTCCGGGTGTGGTGGCCACGGACGTGTTGCCACGGTCTGTGCGTTTGGTGCACGATGTCCGCGGACCGAGTCCGGCCTTTCCCGTGAGCTCTCGGCCCAGGGCATCGAACTCCTGAGAAGCTGATACGCTTATGGAGGCTGGAAGGAGAGTGGAACAAATGCCGCAACGAAATCTGAAATCTACTGCCCAAAAATGAAGGAAACACCAAACACTGCGTTTCAGGTGCTTTGCCTTGTGGTTAGGTGGGCAATGGAGCTTTCAACTGTGTTCTTTGCTTTTTGTTGCTCGAGATGCCTTGGGTTTCAGTCAACACTTTTCATAGACAGCTGATAGCAACGCAAATGACATCGAGGCAGCTTTCACCTGCAGAGTGCATCAAGGCACATAACAGTGGTGCAGAATAAATGAAGGCAAATGATATGCAGGCAAGTGTCCTTTGACGATTCAGACAACATAGAAAATACATGAAAATACGCACTCTGCTATTTGTCCCTTGTAACTTCCTCTGCTACAGAAATATTCTGCTTGGACAGGTATCCTCCTTGACCAACAAGTGTCATCATGCATAAACCTCTGGCTTTCCAATGTTGATTCGTTTCCCAAAATTCCTTGCTTGAGAAGTGTTTTCCTTGAACAAATACATCCTCGGCCTACTCCTGTGTGAATGCCTTATCCTCCGTACCAGACAGTGTTGTCATTTGTAAGGGCATCATCCTTAGTGTTGTTTTGCAGTGCTATTTCGCCCTATCTTTCCTTTTGAACATGTTCCACTTTGCACAAGGTCTCTGCTTTATGGAACCTAATAATCCTAACATATAGAAGTGCACACCCTGTGCAAAAGACACATTCGTTTACAAAGGTCCTGTGTATGTAAGTATTCTGCTTATACAAGCTCATCCTCCTTGGAAGGTTCTCATCACCTTAATGTGTACTCACTTCCTAAGGTATCCGATGTCCTTTTCCTTATCAAGTATGATGCTTTGTGCACTTTGCGGCCTCAAATCTAGGCAACCTTGCATTCTTGATGAAAAACATTTGCAAGTCGCTACAGCCTTCAAGAAAATGCACTGGTTTTTCTTTGTAGGGTTTGTCACCCTGACAAAATCAAATCAGTTCCAAAGGCCTCGTCTAGAATAATTGGCACTTGTGCAACCCGTATCCTTCTTTTCAAACCTGCTTCTCTTTAGGCACAATGGTAATCCTTGGAAAACAACCTCATTCTTCATGGAACTTTCTCCTGTCATGCAACACTTCCTGCTAGCAAAAGAGGCCAAACATCCGTCAGCAAAAGAGCTGTCCTCCAATGACGTGGTTTCAGACCCTTCATCAAAGTCTTGTCCCTTCCCTAGTCTGTTCCCTGCATCAAAATCGCGGTTTCAGACCAATTCAAATCTCACTTGTGTTTTCCAGGGCTTTTTTTCCATTTGCTTTCTCTCAAGCACACCCGCTCTCAAAAAGAATGGGTGTGTGTTGTAACGGAAGTTATGACCAGTGCCAGACCATACTCAATATATTTGCTGGACTGTTTCCGTGTACCTCCACTGTGCTCCCTCAACCCAGGGTCTCAAGTCAGGCGTACCTGTATCTACAAACTATAGACTATTTGAGCACAAGAAGGTCTTACCATGTATTGTACTTCATGGCCCCGAAAATGCTATTCAGATCTGTCCCCTCTGCGAGTACCAACCATGGTGAATCATGACACATGTCATTGTTGTCTGTACTTTTTCTGAATTAGATCACACACTCATCATATAATGCATGCATCTACTGTTCAGCACTGGGGACTTCCACATACCCGCACCTATACATCTGAGAAAAACCAGCACCGGCAGCTGCTTGGAGCCTTCTCCCATTTGAAGCCAATTTCACGTCTGCGCTCAAACCAATTGATCAGATTTGATCAGGTGCATACACTGCTCCTCCAGGTATTCCTGCTGTTGACCCTCCTCCGCGAGCCGCGCCACTCGCGGCCTAGGCGGCGTCCGTACGTGAAGATGGAGACAATCACAGGGTGTCTTTTAGTCTGTCATCACCCTGGAAAGTAGACGGGTTGGTCTCAAAAAAGGGAGGTGTTCGTCCGGAGTCAAGACACTGACACTCTATGACACATGCAAATAGTAAGAGACCTTACAAAGTTCAAAAACATCTTGAATCCTCTTGTCCAAATTCTGTGAGTTCCAAGCTCAACAACGATACCATAGCCCCTCTTCGAAGCTCTCCGACGATTTAACCATGCGCCAGTGATCGGAATTCATCACACAACATAGGCCTGTGAGACAGCTTTCACTTTGTAAAGAAGCTGGTGACCAATCATCCCACTCTCTCACAAGAACAATCAATTCTTGCAGGGTAGAGAAACTGCCAAAGAAAAAGAAAAAGGACCTAGTGATCCATAGCGCAACTATTGAGTGATTAGAAGATCCTTCACAATGCTCCTGCTGGTGCACAAGCATGCGATCTTGTATTCACAAAACCAACTTTACGTCTCTGCTTCCTCTCCCTCCAACTGTACGGTCTCTGCCCCCTGCTCGCTCCGCCGGAGGCCCGCCCACAGACCACACAGTAGGCTTGCAACGCCTGCACACATCGAATCAAGGTGCTAGGCACGGCCGGTGTGTTCAGTTTGTTGGTGCTGCTTTTGTCTCTCCTGGAGTTGCTGCTGTTGCTGCATTGTTGTTTCTATATACAGTAATGGAAACATGACACAGTGTGGGATAGTCATGGCAAATATAATGTGGGAAGAACATGGAAAACAATGAAACTTAGAAATATGTGGCACTGTGTCTATACCTCCCAACCCTGGAATGGTGCTTCTGGGAGACATCGGTGCCAGATCAATCTATCACGAAAATCCCTGGATGTCATCTAGCTAGGTCCATGCTCAGCTTGGTACTCCTCTTTCATTTCTGGTTCAAAATCCTCGAGAACCACGCCTACGTTGGACCTTGAGATCCATGCATTGGAGGACGTCCAAGGGAGGCTTCGAGACTGAAGAGGGACCTGCTGCAGCCAAGGGTAGATGGTCACGCTGGTTTCTAGATGCCACATAAGCCCAAGAAACCTCCACATCATTCCCCCGATCCAACCTAATACCGATGGACTCCAACCTAATACCGATGGACTCCAACCTAATACCGATGGACTCCAACCTAAGAGCGATGGCCTCCAACCTATTAGCGATGGCCTCCAACCTAAGAGCGATGGCATCCAACCTAGAAGCGATGGCCTCCAATCTAATTACTAGCGATGGCCCCCACCCTATTAGCATACAGAATGAGTCCAGGAATCATGCACATCATCCTAACAGCGATGGACTCCAACCTAAGGGCGATGGCCTCCAACCTACTAGCGATGGCCTCCAACCCAAGAGCGATGGCCTCCAACCTAAGAGCGATGGCCCCCAACCTAAGAGCGATGGCCTCCAACCTACTAGCGATGGCCTCCACCCTGCTAGCGATGGCCTCCAACCTAATACAGAATAAGTTCAAGATTCATCCGCATCATTCCCCCGATCCAACCTAATAGCGCTGGCCTCCAACCTAGAAGTGATGGCCTCCAACCTATGAGCGATGCCCTCCAACCTATTAGCGATGGCCTCCAACCTAAGAGCGATGTACTAGCGATGGCCTCCAACCTACTAGCGATGGCCCCCACCCTATTAGCGATGGCCTCCAACCTAATACAGAATAAGTTCAAGATTCATCCGCATCATTCCCCCAATCCAACCTAATAGCGCTGGCCTCCAACCTAGAAGTGATGGCCTCCAACCTATGAGCGATGCCCTCCAACCTATTAGCGATGGCCTCCAACCTAAGAGCGATGGCCTCCAACCTACTAGCGATGACCTCCAACCTACTAGCGATGGCCCCCACCCTATTAGCGATGGCCTCCAACCTAATACAGAATAAGTTCAAGATTCATCCACATCATTCCCCCAATCAAATTCCAATTATTGATGTTACTGTTGGTCATGTTTTGTCAAGGCCGAGGCAAGATGGTGTACATCCATGATAATGTGTGATCACGTTTTGATCGGAACTGATCAAACGGCGAGGTCTTTACTTTTACCCTCAAGGCTCATATCACTCATATATCTTATAGATGTCTGCATAGAATCATTGGAAGTGTTGGTCCTTGGCTTTTTCGATAGGCACTATATTATATACAGTACACTGTACCCCTTTTTTGGCATACCAAGAGTCCTTGTATGCTGCACTCATCACTCACACCTTTGGGGCCCCAGCGGGCGGACCCCGCGGGTCACGACCACGTGCAGTCACCTCGGCGGCACCGGTGCGCTCCAACGACACCAAACATGAGGGAATTGGGGTGACTTGCCTGCTCTTGACCACCGTGAAAATACCACCAACTGGATGGGCAAATAAATAGATGTTTTGTCAATTTTCCTTGACAAGCGGTCAAAATGTCCTGCACTCCGTCTCCAACAAAGCTTGTTCAAAAGTATGGGTCCCAAACTTGTACCAAGGCCGGTGCCAGCTCCACATGACTGGGCCAAAGGCATGCCACATTGGCCATGGCGGGTCAACAAGAATGGTCGGTGTTGTGGTCGTGATAAATGATAAATGTGGAATCGCGGATGTCGGATGGTCCTTTGAGGAAAGACCATCGAGGCAACGTCTTCCATGTTAAAGATGTTTCTTTCGTGTCTTCTGCTCTCTATCAAGACACCAGCGTCTTGTTGATTTCAGTATGTTGTTTGAAAAGCCCGAATCTAGCATTTGCTGTACTGCGGCTGATATGATGTTCTCTCTTGCTGTCATTTTTTGCAGTTCTGCACATGTGAAGGTGATTGTGGGTACAGTATATACTGTTTGGGGTATAACTACCTCGCAGGTGATGCACTCGATTTCCCGAAAACCCGCTTTGAGAATCAGGAAGACTAAGACGTTTGCAACCTGCACTTCACCCCTTCCAGCCCCATCGAATGGACCACTGCATGTAGCCATACAGACAACCCAAGCCCATGTCGCCGGCGTAGGGTTTCTTGTACCCATGGGTTGGGCAGGGATAGCTCGAAGTATAATTTGGATTCTGTGGCAGTCTCCTGCCGCCTTCTGAATTCCTTGAATTAGCAAGTCTCTTCATGTCTCTTCATTGGCACCGGCACTGGCGCAGTCTGTACAGTTATCGGCCATGCCCAGTGAAAACAAACAATCAGCATGAGAAAACGCGGTCATCATTTGGCTCAGAAAGAATGCCGTCATCAATACAAGTTTCACAGTTCCATTGTCATGAGCTTGGAGCCAACAAAAATGCTTCTGGCCAATGACTGATTCTGGAACTCACTCCAATCCAGCCTGAACGGTTTCATTTTGGCCAAGACTGCTTCTACACTAGCACCACTCTGCACGGAAAGCCTTTGGTGGGTGCACATGTGACAAAGCCCTGTTTCTGTGCGCAACAGAGTGTATGGCATGTGGACGGAATGCATTTTTCCTACTGCTCCAACTCTTTCATATCACTCCAAACAAAAGAACCACGTTCTGTGCAGTTTATCTTTAGGAAAATGATGCCCACGCAAGGTGGTACATGCCAAGTTGAAATCAAGTTGATACTCTCGGTACTTTGTTGTCTTGGTACAAACAAAAAGTCATACTGACCAAGCGCAAAAACCTTCGAGGCTCCTGAGAGCTCTTTCCCCTGAACACACAATTCTGACATAAGCCTCAATTGGCACTCAGGCTGCGGTGCAAGGTGGCCCGGTAATGGTTGATGGCCTCACACACCCACGACCGCAACTTAACTAGGGATGCATACAACCCATCAAAAGCAGAGCACAGTACATGTGGTGACAAAACTTCCAGCAGGTTGACGACTCTGTCTTCATGTCGGCCACTGAGCTGGAGCAAGGCTTGTGGTGAGTAGACCATCGAAGTGAGCACACACAACCCAGACAATTTACATGGTTTGCACAGGCACCAGTCACATGGATTGCTTGTGCAAGCGTGTGGGAGTGCAAACTATTCACAAATCCCAAGTAGCCATCCAAAGCCTCGGTTTTGCAGTCCTTCTAGGTTGACAAAATCCCAACATCCCGGTATCACACTGAAGGTCTGCCAGCTTCACATGTTGCGCAGCGGCCTCCATTTCCTAAAAACCTGTGAAACTTGCAGTTTCTGTGGATCCAGATTGATTGAGTGGAAGGAAGTAGGGGATTCTGCAAATACCACGACAATGGGGACATACAGTAGCACAGCCTGCGTCACCCGTTCAAATCAACAACACCCTGGACTCCTGAGAATTCTCCAAAAAGACACATATTCATATTACTATATAAAGTTAAGTAAAGTACTGCAGTAGATGATTGTCTGACTTTGGAGATTGTGTCCTGCTTTCATTGATGATACAATTCCCGACCCACATTTGCAGGCCTGCCAGACCTCATCATCAGCTGCCTCCCGCAGAGTCGCCTTGCTCGCGGGCTTCGCATGATTATATATTGGGTCTGCAACCAACAAAGCTCTCCAAGTCATCTTTACTCTCCAAGCAAATGGGTTCTCTAATTAATTTACCTTTCTTCATCAGCCCGAGTTCAAAAAAGCTACTGCATGCTAGTTTTTAGTGGGTTTGGGATGATTTGGGTGTCCTGCGTCTTTCTCAAACAAACACCCCATCGTTAGGTGCCAAAATCTCAGCCTACCTCTCAAGCTTCGCATGATAATAGTGGGACAGGTTCGTCAATATCATCCTGGTGAAGGTCCATCCAAGACGACACTCATTTGCTTCACCACACCCCGCCTCTTTCTGCAGCTCCTGTCGCACTTCTGCCACCCGCTGCAGGGTTAAAGCCTCACAAAAATGAAAACTCCTTCAGGTCAACCACACTGCAATTTGGAAATCTCCTCTGGAAACTCAGCTAGTAGGAGCAAGGACGCTACTAGGGGCTCCTGGCCTTACTACTAGGAGCAAGAACATTTCACACTCCCCCCTGGACGATCGCACTCACCATTTCCACCCACCCAAGCAAGATTTACACTGCCAAGCGACACGTATCTGAGCGGTTTCTGCATTCTCATGAGGAGATGCGAGCCTCAATAACTGACAGTCGAGGAGTACCCCTGCACACTCAACTTGACTAGAATCAAACAATGTTCGAAGTGGAGACGTTCATTGTTCATGAAGAGATATGTTCCACAAAAAACTCTTTAGGGGAACAACTCTTAGTCTTAATATGTGCAACTCTTAGTCTTAATATGGCCAATGAGTCCAATGGATGCCTGGACAATGGGTCACACAATCACTGGATGCAAAGATTGTTTCCATTTGAGAGCGTGGCTGGTCGATCAGCTCTTGCAATGCCTTGCAGGGGTCATTTGGGCACTACCCAGGTGTGTTTGGGGTGCATGCAAGCGTACTAGTATCAGAGGATTTGCTGGAGGCCTTCCCTTTACACAACACCTCGGCCGAAACTCCCGGCCTCTCCGCGCCGCTCCAACCGAGCCAATTCCTGGAAGAACCGGAAGCATCACAGAAAAAGGCTTCAAGTGCTTCGACCCTCATAGTTTTGAGTCTGGTTGCCGCGAGATCCATCGCAGTTGACACGGAAACCAAGTGCCTTCTGCATTTCTGCGTCCACCCCAAAGCCCACCTGGCAAGGCAACCAAAAGTACTAGTAGCTTCTAGCTACTATTAGCGATGCACTTGTTAATAGCTTTTCTTTGTGAGGTGTTTAGTTCACAGTCCCGCACGGCAAACAAACATGTATGCAACATTCTGGCCTTCGGGCACGCTTCATCGTAAATTGACAAAAACTTTTGGACTATGGCAATTCCTCTTCCAAATCTATCCATTGGTTGCGGATGTTTGTATCCGACAGTTCTATCGCCTTCCCATGTCCTGCCATACCCTATGACCATTCAATATGCTGAAACATAGTAGCCACATGTAACCCTTCGCGTGATCAAAACTGTGTCCCAAACGTCCACACGCACCTCCTCAATCCGCTGCAAAAGGGCATCCTCCTATGTTCCGAGCACGGTCAAAGAGCTTTTACCTTTATTTGTGCATAGTTCTGATATACGCTTGTGCCTGCGTAAACTTCCCAGATTTGCAACCCCATCCTGAGTTTCAGCTCGCTTCTGCTCATCTTTGAAGTCGTCGATGAGATGTTTCATCCTCGGCGCAAGGCAGAGGTATATCGTGAAAACAGACCATGCCAAAATTCTCGGAGGCTTACTCAAGACGTGCTTACAATAAAAGTGTTCCAACACCACATGTTCAGCCTTGTCTTGCCTCATCCGTTCCCCGATCTCTTTCTCTCTCTCTCTCTCTCTCCTGCAGTGAGAAGAGCACGTGTCCAACAAACTCCAATATATAATTACTTCAATCGAAGCACCAAGAAATTGATCCACAATAAATTATTGTATATGAGTCTTCGTTGTAGATGCACCATCCTCAATGATCAGCCAATGTTGCAAGAGACTCTTTTGTGGCACAAACGTTCATGTTCATGGTAAATTTTGTTGCTAGGTCATCTTACAAGTTCTTCTGCGTGGAGAGGCAAGACAAATGCCACAAAGACCACACAAGCAGCAATGAAACAAGCCCATAGCTGGACAATTCCTCTGAACTTGTGCCATCCATGTTGCCAGCAATCACCTGCATGACCTTGACGAAAGGCCAATTTATCAGTCGATGTTGCTGTGGCTGGTCTTACATTGCCTTCTTGCTAAAGCCGCTAAAGACTCATCATTCAGCTGCAGTGAATGACGAGCTGGGCGACTTCGATGTTCTTCGATGTTCTGCGAGCCGTGGGGAGGCCTGTGGGTCGGTGGCGCCGGTTGGAACGATCGACGAATCGAGGGCGCCTTTGTGGGCGAAGAAACATGGACAACCGGGGGCTGCTGATGGGTCGGAGGGAGGGAGAGCTGGAGATGCCAAAAGATTTCAAGCGAGTGGAGTGTCCACGACCCATCGCCAGCACGAATGCATTGCCAATGCGTCCCTGAATTTTCTCTGCTCTCTGAACGGAAAAGAACTGAGGATCTTTTTTATGGGTTCGGAGTGCATTTGCATATGTTACCAGCACTGCGCCCCTTGTAGCTTGGGCCTCTGCAGCCATCACGCACTCAAGTCCAGTTCCAGAGGCGGGCCCCCACACTTGACGGAGGGTCAAGCGGACTTGCAACCTATTCTCCGTTCACGGAGGGGTATGCGCCCTGCAAATTATGTTCCATGCAAGCGCGCCCGCATGCACGACAGCAGGTACCGGACAAAAGGATCCCGATGACCAGTGCACAGGCAGGGCTTAGCGAGGCTGGTGGCGAAAGACTGTCCAAGGCATACGAGACACATGCAAGTTGAGTTGGCAAGGGCGGCACAAAAATATCAAAAAGTCAAATTGGTAAGGAAAAGACTCAAAAAATGGCAAGGGTGAATAAGCGAATTTCCGCACTCTAGAGCACTTTCACATATGAGAGCACACATGAGAGCACGTGTATGAGTGAGCACACATCAAAGAGCATGCAGCCAGCATACCTGTAAGAACACACATATGAGAGCACACACACATGTGAGCACCACATGTGAGAACACCCATTACACATAGTCCAAACCACTCCTGGCACAAAAATCATACTGAAATAGAAATGACACAACATTCAAACGCGCATTAACCCAAGCAGTCCTCCAATGCCCAAACCCAAAGCAGCCCACCCACAGCAAGGTCGGGAGGGTGTACTTGGCCATAGTAGTTATGACTTATCCATAGTTGGACATGAAATAGTTGTGGCGCATTCCTGTATTAATGATTTTTGTTTGAGCATTGTTGGAGAATGACAGACTTGCAATGATCCATCTTCTGGAGTTTTGGTTTTGGAATCCGTCTCCAACCTGTTGACATCGCATATTTCTGGTGAAGGAGGAAAGAGGGCAGCACACTTGTTCAGTGTCAAAGGTCAGCTCCCGCAATCAGGCTTCAGTGTGTTGGGCCCCCCGCTGCTCCTTCAAAGAGGAGAGCTCCACCTGCATCCAGGTTCCGCAGGTCTAGGCTATGAGGTCGCGACATCTATAATGCCTCTCATTCAACGAAGACCGCGCAGAAACACCGATACTTTTGAAATCCCTGAACATGCACCTTTTATGAGCCATGGTAGGCTTTTGCCAGGCCAACCATCAGCTAAATCTAGTTTCAAGTGTGAAGAGCAAACATCTACTGTACATCAATGTGCGACGAAGTTCGAGTTCCCCAGAGCCGTCTATGTCAGACCTCCCGTCCCATCAGCCTGCAGCTGCGAAGGCACCTCGCCTTTGAACTGTTGGATTCCGAGCTCCAGAGTGCAACACCTCCAAAGGATAGGTAAGAGGTTGTGGCCTTGGAAGGGAAGGTGCTGAGGTGGTGCAATTCTCGAAACCAAAATGAGGAGAAGTGAATGACATGCAAAATTGGGACGGAACTGTTTGCATGTCATCAAGGAGACGAAAAAAAATTGCAGCGCTGCATAGGCTGCCTTAGAGAAGCTTGGTGATACCCAACAAAGCCGGTCTGTTGGATTGTGTTGCAAACCCACAATCCCACGACCAAGCAGAAAAGCTCCGCCTGTCTGTCAATGAATCCACAGTGGAGAAAAGACTGGTGAATCGTTCAGATAACCTGGTTGAGAGCAGGCGGTCCGGGTAGGACATGCAGTCTTGGCCTGTGTCAACAGAATGAACCGGATAGAGTTGCATGAGGTTAGACGGCATATTATATATATATATTATGATGGACAAAACCATGCCACGACTCTTGTATCCTATAAGCAGGAGGTTCACCGGTAACCCGTCTGCTTTCAAGTCGACTGATCCAACAGGCACGCAGAACTGCCACTGAGGCCCGCACCGCTCCTGAAGGCCTTCGATGATGTCTGCCAGGCGCCGGTTCATCGCCTCCAAATCCACGAGGAGAGCTTTTCACACCGGAGGAAAACATCTCTGAGACTCCCTCGCTTTTGAAAAGCAGATCGCTTAAGGAACAAAGCTAAGGTTCGGAAGTCCTTGGTCCTGTCACTGGGCAGTGCATGTTCGATATGATCTCAAGCATGAATGAAAAAGCTTGTACGCACACAAAAAATTGTTTCTTGCATGTGTTTGTCTGTTTGACAAATATGGGTGCAGTTTTGGGCAAAGCACAACCCCCACATCAAGTCCCGGCCTGTCTGAAGTCCGTCAGTTCCTCCTCGCGATGTTGAGACTCCTCCATCAGCCTCGTTTCCCCCGTTTGCAGACCGGAAGGACGTCCATGCAAAGCACAACACCAGTGTTTTCAATCCTTACAAGCCTCAATTAATATAGAAATACTGTATATAACAATAAAACTTTTACTAGTAATAATGGTACAAAACAAACCCACTAATAAAGCTTCATAGGAGATGGGGTGTGATTGCCTAGTGCATCATGTTGACAGTGCAACATGGCTCTGAGGACCAAACTCATGCTCAAGCTTTCCCAGAAAGGCCACCAGCTGGCACAAGAGTTTGCGGCCCATCCCACAAGACCTTTTCCCAACAATCAGAGAAGACCCAGACTTTGGTTTGCCTCACGCATCTATCTCTAGACTCTGGTGACACTGCAAGATGTGACTATGTTGCAATGGCAAGGTGGGTAGCAGCACAAATGACATTTGGTGGTGCATCATGAATCCTCAGTGTCTTCTGCACACAATCCACGTTTCATGACAACTTCCCAGTTTCATGAAACTACAGTCAGGCTGTTGTACCACCTACCCTCCCGGTGCTACATATGAGCAATAGTTCTTCCACGTTGAGGTGGTTACTAGTAGCAAGAATGCTCCTAGTAGTACGGCCAGGAGCCCCTAGTAGCGTCCTTGCTCCTAGTAGCGATGCCAGGAGCCCCTAGTAGCTTCTTGTTCCTAGTAGCATTTCGGCGCTTCTTGGAAGGATGGAATTCATCCACAGAGTGCGCTCTCCACCGATCGCTTTAACCGCTGAGGCCTCCTGGCAGCGAGAAGCTTCCAGCTCTTTCCGCCTGAATTGATGCAGCTGGTAAAGCACACCAAGGACCGGCCAGGGGAGCATGGAGCGGCTCCGGGTCTGCGACATCCGAATGTCCCTGAAATGTTCGACCAAGGTGTCAACTTCCTAATTCTTCGGCAAAGCTGTGGCCTTTTTGGCCATGACAAGTTCGCCCATTCCACCTCCGGGCATCTTCGTCCACTTGCTTGGCCAACGCGGCAAAGCTGGCGCCAGCTGAGTGTGGACCCGCAACAGCTGGACTCTTCTCCAGAGATTAGAATCAACAAAGAAAGAGGATGGACATGAAAGAACAACCTTTCTTGAACATCCTAAATGTGAAAGTGAAAGAAACATGCTGCTGATGCTGCACGTTGCTCTACACCAACACCCTTCTCATCTCCTTCACTCCAGCTGTTCAAGCCTCGTGCTAATTGCTGCCAGCTTCTTCCGAAGTTCTTGGTCCGCCTCATGACTGCACTGGCCAGGGAGCAATCGTGTCTATGTTCAATTATGATGTATACGATGACAATATGTTTTGTATGTTAGCACGCAATTCACCGTCCTATATCTTTGTGGGGAACCGATAGATCGGTTTTGCTTATTATCAAAATAAGAGGTCTGAAAGACTTCAGCTGTGCCTTGTGAAAGCCACTATCACTATGCATTTGATACAGCAACGATTCAACATAATGGCATGATGCCTTCGCAACACTCTTTCAGAATTGTACCGAAATGGTCGTTCCTTAGAGGTCACATGACAACGTGCTTTACTAGAACAGCCAGAGTTCAGGAATCGATCATCGTCCACAGCTGTATGAGAACCTGATCGTTTCCTCCGTCAATTCACTTTCGCTTTTCTTCGTACGACTTCCAGATCCAACTCCAAGCACCAAACTGCCGCATCATCCTCCCAAACTGGAGCAATGATTGGCCTGCCCACCCAATCATCGCTGTGGGGTGGATGTGAGGCGCTGATCAAACCCATTCCCGTAAGTATATCCGTGGCAGAACCTGGTCACCCCACAAAGGCCTTGTCTCAACGCGCCCCAAACAACCATGGAACAAACATGCCTGTCAGTGGTACATGTTTTCGTGCGATTTCGAGCTCACGTCGCAGGTACTCAAGGGCAACGTCAATCACTGCAATCGGACGGCCACGATGACCTCCATGAGCATCACGAAAAATGGAGTTACTAGAATCTAGAAAGTATTGAAGGTACAAGTGCAAATGTTGAAGGTGGAAAAGAGTAAGAAGAGTACTATCTCCGCATGAATGAATGTGGTCAACAAGTCAATAACAAACTCAATTTTGGTTGTAGGCGTTTCCCAGGTACAATGAAAAGGTTACAAGAAGAAACAAACGCCTGTTAATCTCCCCACGTTTCCAGGAAGCTGTTCCAGCACAATTTCTGCATGTTCCTGTTGAGTTCAAGAGACAACCCAACGGTTCTGGTTCAGTTTGGTTGCAGTGCTCGAAGCACTCGTTGTACACATCATCCCACATGGACATGGCTGCTGCCCAACTGGATTGGATGCACAAATGTTACAACGAGCGGATTTCATTGAAACATAGTATTGGTATTGCTCAATACTGGGTATTGCTCAATGATATTGTTGTGCGTATGTGTTTTCTGTTAAAGTGCTGAACCATGGACCTAAAGCCAAGAGACAAGAACACCCAGAATGCTGGTAACAGTGGGCTGCGTAGGTTGCCGCGAATGGCCAACGCAGGGAACTTGTTTCCTCTTGACTCTTGACGCTCATAAAATGGATTCTTTGCAGTCAGTGTTGCCGTTCCCCCATAGCCATCAGAAAAGAATGATAAACTTGAATGGTCACTTCTATGAAAAAATAAATGCCAGAACTCTGGCAAAAAGGAAGTTAGAAATGAAGCAAGACATGAAGTCAATTTACGCAGAGCATGATTCCAATGATAATGTCGATGGAAGCCAGAATGACAACCCATATGACAAGAAGATATAATATACACATTATGTTTTTTTTTGGGGGTATCATCAGGCTGTGGCCTAAAGATTCTCTTAGACCAAACCTCACGGGGCACAACTGAACGTCTTCCCCCTTTCTCTGACCAAACCTCTCCGGCCGCAGGTGCGGCAACAAATGCTGCGTCATCGATGGCCCTGAGCGGAAGAGCGTGCCTCAGCTGGGCCGGTGGAAGAGTGAACCATTCGGTGCCTTGGACGTCCGAAGAAGACTCCCAAGCGCCTGCTTTTCGGCACACCCTGAAGGCTAGAAGACCGGCTTGGTAGCGGCTCGCGTCTGCACTTCCGTGTCAGCATACGTCATGAAGTCTTGTAATCCAACCACTGCGTGTTTCAACCCTGCTTCTCTGTTCACAACACTTGCCAACGAACCACAGTCTCACGGTCATGGGCCACCCGACTGCGTATGGAGGTGCCATGGCCTGCACTCATGCGACTCACGTCGAAACCACCCGCCTGCCGACACGAAAGCACTCCACTAACGGCCTCCAACCTACTTGCGATGGCCTCCAACCTAATAGCGATGATCCAAGGGCTCAGCATGTACCTCTGACAACAAGAGACATACGAAACATGTTCTATGAAGACCGGATGGGATTTTCGATTGTCCAAAAACATGGTCTCAGTGAAAACCTCACAGCTGAACCATTGCACCTAGGACCCAGCGGACCCAGCCCTCACCAAGCCTTTGCTCTCATGCGCAGTCGTGGGAGTGTACTCCTAGCTGCAAGGTGGCTAGCAAATAAGAAAATTGAGATAAATGAAGTGATGTTCATCATGAGGGCATGCAAATTGACCTTTGTAAGTGTGGGCAAAAGTATCAACAACCTTGGCCAAGAACACGGAACCCGGCTGTGAACCTTGTGAGAGGATGAAGTCAGAATACTGAGGTCATGCAAATCGGATCGCCCGAACGAACTCGAAAGGCCCCACATGGCGATGGCCTCCAACCTAATGAGATCAAAAAGGTCTCCCTTTTGGCTTCAGTTGCCCCAAACATCCCCAAACTCTTCTGACCTCTTCGCGACCCGGATCTCACTTCCCGTCTCCTGTGGGCCTGGCAGATCAGGGCAATGGAGTCGAAGAATCTCAAAAGCCACTCTTCGGAAGCGGAAACAGGACCTCCTTTGATGCTGGAACAGGACCTATATAGCTCTGGGGGGGAGCAACATTTTTGACAGGAGACGGGGTCCAAATTTCCAGAGCTCCTGCACTACCACGGGACAAAGAGACCTACTCCTGGTGAAATGGCTTTTGATGGAAACAGACCGCTTCTTCTCATGGGATTGTATTATCACGGCAGTTACAGTCCAACTCATGCCAGTAAGACTGGGCTGGAAGGAGGTCCTCGGAGACTGGTCCAACGAAAAGAGCTGCTCAAGCAAAATCATTCAAAAATACTGTATGACATCTGTATGACATCTATTTACTTCTGAGCGAAGCACTTGTCACTAGGTCACCTTCAAAACAGCAAAGCACCGGCCTCAAGCCCCTCGTTGTGCTCAATGACACTGGGGCTCCAGGCCGAGCCCTCATGGATCATGGGGTCCCTGTGGCCACTACAGTGCAGGGCTACGATACCAATCCTGCACCATAGACCCTTCACGACCCTTCCATACCCATCACATTTCCATGAACGAATCCAAAGTAAGGGTCTTTCTATATAATTTTAGAAAGAAACCCTCTTTGACTCTTGAACAAGAAAAGGTCGTCTCGTCTAATCATCGAAAGAAAGCCTCTTGAACCACCTGGACTGTGAGCCCGCTGCAGTCAGTGAACACGTTGGCTAGGAAGGATTTGAGATCTGCAAGTCTACTCTTCCACAACTACTTGTTAGTTTGGCATTTGTCGACTTTTGCACTGAAGAAGGTCTGCTTGAAACTTGCCTCTGGTGCCGTAGCTGGCGACCTGGCAAGTCCATCTCACATCACTGCCTTCAACGTGGCAAAGAACAAACGCAGTGAAGCTGGACCCTGCCTGCATTAAGATTGTCGAATCCATGCCATTGCTATGCCGCTATGCACTTGGACCCTCGTCTTGGAATACAAATAATCAGGAACATCCCAAGAGAGCTCAACATGCTTCTCTCACTGATGCTTGTTTCTACATGTAAATCCATCCGGCCATGCTAGGAGCTAGGATTTCCAAACCTTCCCGGATCCATCTTTGTTCGCACTTTGAGCTGAGTGCTTCGGACTGACAGGTCTACAGGTCTGTGGGCGTCGTCGCCACTCAAGTCTGTTGCGTCCTCATGGTCCCTTGAAGCCAAACAGCTGCACACACCAGGCTCTTCACTCAAAGCCCAGCATGGAGTGAACAGAACACCCTGTTGAACTGAAGCAAAAAGATGTATAAAGCTGACCCAAACACTAGCAGTCGGTTCGGAGATGTTCCGCTTCGTCCAAAGTCTCTCCGGTTCAAATGACAACCTTGCAGTCTGTCCAAAGTAGCTTCTTGTTGCTAGTAAGAATGCTCCTAATAGCGATGCCAGGAGCCCCGGGGAGCGTCCTTGCTCCTAGTAGTAAGGCCAGGAGCCCCTAGTAGCTTCCCAACTGCCAAAGGGAACCTCGATAACATTTTTGCTGACGTGTGATCCCGCTTGGCGGGATAGAGAAACGCGTTGTACTCGTGCTGCCCTTCGCAGACTCAGACTGTGACGAGCGTGTCAGCCCCTCAATCCCAGGGAGGTGCGGGAAGGGATCGGAGCTCCTTAGTCGGTTCGGAGACTCATTGGCTGACCGTCTTGGATATTCTTGTCTATGAGAGCCTCAGAATTCTTACTGGGACAATCAACTCTCTATCTGTATCTGGAAGATACTTGAGAACTATAAATAGATCCAAGTGCAGACCGAAACAAGAAAAATATGGATGTGAAGCTGCATACTTAGATGTCCAGTAGCCTTAGAAATATGATGTTCACCGATTCGGCATCCCGGTGAATGGGCCCTTGCTCACTCCTTCGACATCCCGGCCTAGACGTCGAAAATACTTGCTCTCCTCAAGCGTGGCCTCAGGAAATCAGCACTCAGGGAGTCTCCAATCTGACTCTGAAAGGGGTCTTGATAGCGAATCCAACTGGCAGTCTAGACCGTCTAGACCGTCTAGACTCTTCAAATGCATTGGCTCTTCTCCTTGTGCTGTACACTTCTCTCAATAAAATAGAGGGCGTGTTCACCCTTCAGTCTAGCAGGCACACCTGCATCTTCGCACTTTTGACGCTCACAGTCATTGCGCAGGTCTGGCAAATAGTCCTTGATGTCCTTGTGTTTTCTTTCCAATGGAGTCAACAGGGTCACAAAACCGCTTTGTGAAGTGCTTTAACCTGTCACAAACCCCTCTGAAACAGCTCCCTCGACGCCACCCGCGCCTCGCACTTCAGCGGTGCCGAGCCGCTGCGCCGCAGGTGGGCGTGGGCCGAGCGGCTCAGCACCTCGGCGGTCATGGAGCCAGTGGAGCCTCCGAAGGATTTGAAGCGCAAAGGAATTCCCGTGTGTTTTTTAATATATCAGTAGTAATGCCCTTGTTACTTGTAGCTTCTTGCTACTATCAGTTGTGCTTCCATTTCTTTAAACACCATTCATGACATATTCATCTTTGTTCCAAATCCTACACTTCGCCAGACTTTGCCTAGACCTGTCTCCCACATCCTCCCACCATCTCCCTTCCATCTAGCTTGATCCCCTTCCACCTCGGCATGTCGGAGCTCCGCAAGACGCGCCTGTTCCACCTGAGCAACCGCTGCAACTGCTGCAACCGCCAACGGGAAGGGTTAGGAAATAGCTATTGGCTATTGGCTATTGGCGATTCGGTGGTGTCAGTGTGGTGCTTGACCATGGCGGTTTCGGTGGCCGTTTACTTCTCCTAGGTCACGCTCCTGTTCTTCTACACCATGATTTGTCGAGAAGAAAAGCATTGAGTGAAATTGATCAGAAGATCTGGATATTCTTCTTTCATCTTCTTTCAGACAAGACCTGCCTAGTCACATTGCTTTACTGTGAAAGATCGTGGTAGCTGACCACTGACCACCCCTAGTCGACTATTGACTATTCTGATTGCAGGATCTTATTGGATTTGAACTCACAGCCACATCTACAGAATCGGAAGACATAAAGATAAATGTCTTCTTCTACCTCCAACCACTCTTATGAAACAAGAAGAGGGACTATGGCGTGACTGCAGACTCATTGGTGCTACGCTCTGCAAACCAACAAACCCTTTATTGTTTCTGACCAAGTTGTTCCAGCCAGGACCCAATAGATGAGGTACCGGTCCCCAAAAAGGCACTCACGCAGCATTGCCATGGAAGAATCCCCCTCCAATGCCTCACTTTTCGCCCCTCTCTGCCGTCTTTGCAATCTTTCTGTGTGAGACCTTTCTGCAATTCTCAGCCTCATCTCCATTTGTTGCCTTGGGCACGAGTACGTAAAACACTCAAACCAGGACGGGCACTGAAGCTTGGTGCCTCTTGCATTTGCAGGACATCTGAGTCACCTCTGTTTCGTGTGCTTCAAGGACGAATGTAATTTGGATCTACCACAAGCCCGGGTCAAACTAACTTCCCTGGCCCTGCTCTTGTCGCCCAAACCCCTGGGATCCGTCGTCAACGAACATGTGCTCAAATACATGGAACATGTGAGCAAAAAAAAACAACATTGACCACATTGTCTGCTTCAAGAATGTGGTCTGTAGACTTTAGACCCTTAAAGTGGATGATGATAGGAACCTTCCCCTCCAACCACTTCTTCCAAATCCTGCTGGGTAGTACAGCTTTACACCTCCCAAGCAGCGCCTTTCCGGATCACGTCTTTCAGCTGAGGCTCAACTCTGCTTGCTCACAGGCCAATCTTGCCACGGCGCCAGTGGCGGCGGAACTTGTTGTAGCGAATCTTGGTGCCCGTCTTCAGCCGGAACCACTGTGGCAAAGGTCCTGAGTGAGGCACATGCGCAATTCCAGGAGAACAACTGAGAGAGTGAGATTACAATAATTGTTTGGAAAAAGCAAAAAGAACTGCGGCGTCAGGGTCGTGCTAACAATTTGCTTTGGATGCTCGGATACTGTTCAAAACAAGAATGGCTTCGCCCCTCTGATAGCTTCATTACTGGCCCATACTCTTCAACCTTCAGGGGATGATGCCACCGCCAGAAATTTTTTTGCCACGGGTCGGTTTTGCTTGATCTTCTTTGCCAGCTTCATCTTCAAGGTAAAGGTCTTAACCGCTCCCATCCTGGCAACTAGGCTTGCGGCACTACTACGGGGAAGCTGCCTTTGATCCCAATATGGCCGCGGTGGCGATGCTCAACATAGACCTGGGAGCCGAAGAGCCCAAGCAACCATCAGTTCAAACGAGTTCAAAGGCGTCATCGGATCAGAACCACTGTGAAGTTGTGCAATCTCTTCTCACTCAGCCTTTTTTTGGACCCCGCGCTGCGTTCCTTCGCCTTGCGACCCTGGTGAGACCTCTGTGCTTCGCCGCATCTGGGCCTTGGGCGAAGTTGAAAAGTAGCTTTAAGTAGATGTCAGATGGATGGCTGAGCATTTATCCCTGTCTGATTGAACTAAGGAGATGGAGTTACAGTTGTATTCATTTATTCAATTTATTATGTAATTTGTTAATTACTTTGTGCTGAACTTGAATGGCGGAGTTCCACGCTATTTCAGAAATGTTGTGATTCATGGCACATGGCTTCAGCTTGGTCTGGCCTCTCTCCGAAAATCCAAAAATATGGTATGGAATCTTCACTAGCTTAGAACCGCGGAATGCTAACTTCCAAGAAAGAAGATACTTCCTCCCAAGCAGCGCCTTTCCGGATCACGTCTTTCAGCTGAGGCTCAACTCTGCTTGCTCACAGGCCAATCTTGCCACGGCGCCAGTGGCGGCGGAACTTGTTGTAGCGAATCTTGGTGCCCGTCTTCAGCCGGAACCACTGTGGCAAAGGTCCTGAGTGAGGCACATGCGCAATTCCAGGAGAACAACTGAGAGAGTGAGATTACAATAATTGTTTGGAAAAAGCAAAAGAACTGCGGCGTCAGGGTCGTGCTAACAATTTGCTTTGGATGCTCGGATACTGTTCAAAACAAGAATGGCTTCGCCCCTCTGATAGCCTCATTACTGGCCCATACTCTTCAACCTTCAGGGGATGATGCCACCGCCATAATTTTTTTTGCCACGGGTCGGTTTTGCTTGATCTTCTTTGCCAGCTTCATCTTCAAGGTAAAGGTCTTAACCGCTCCCATCCTGGCAACTAGGCTTGCGGCACTACTACGGGGAAGCTGCCTTTGATCCCAATATGGCCGCGGTGGCAGGAGGTTCCTTTGGGTTTGTTGGTCGGGTGGTAGGTCCAATGAACGAACTCATGTATTTCCCTTTGTGCACTTGAGGTTTTTGCCGCCGGTGTTTGAGAGAATGCATCCAGCATCATCCTGCAATCCTGCCTTCCACGGAATGCACCAATGCACCAACGAGGGAACGGGTTGCCACAGCTGTCCCTCCGGAATCACAGACAACCCTCCAAGGCCATCAACCCACTTCATCCAGGTTATCAACCCAAAGACTCAATGCCGCTGTGCCACTGTGTAGGCTGGCTCCCAGGTCTTTGTATCGACCTCTGAACCTCGGGTTACGGTTTTAACCGTCCTCACAGCCGTTGGAGCCGGTCGAGGTCGAAGTGTCTCAAAGGTGGCACAACCAAGAACCAGCAAACGACAAAATCCACTGGCCGAGGAGTTGTCGAAATATCCCATGACTGGGCCACATGGAGGTGGACGGGTGGGTTCTATGGGAACCACACATCCATCTATACCTCTCCAGCTTTCCATCTCCACGGCTATTCAAAGTTGTTGTCAGCACCCTGGGTCAGCTTCTGGCTTGGCCCCCACACGTGGCCCACGGCCAGAACCTGGACGGTCCGAACCCCAATCCGGAGCGTCGACAACCCCGACCGTTGAGTCGAAGATTCAAAGGGTAAGTTGATGGATCGTGGTACTAAGTACTAAGCTGGTTTGACAGGGGATTGGTGAGGGTTCCCGTGCGTCAGTGGATGATAAGTGAAGGCATCTTTACGTGAAACGGTCGGTGGCAAATGATGGTACAAGTAGGTTTGTTAACTTGCAGGGGGCATGCGGCCATCATGCAAACGCATGCCAACGAAGCTATGCGTGATGGTGGAAGCCAGGTCTGATCACCTGGTGTACCTGCAAATTGCTTCGTAACCACGCTCCCCTTCTAGAGTCTTGGAGGCTGCTTCAGGTTTGGTGAGGTTGTGATGCAGTAAAGTGCTAACGAGCTCTGCAGTCATGCACTCGTCGATCGAGCCTTTTGAGTCTTCGAAACTAGGCATTGGTTGGAAGCCCTGACTTCTTTGAGTTTTGAGACTTGCACGTCATGGTCAGACCATCTTACTGATTTCTTAGGTGTTTCACTTAGGCAGGCAGGCGTGTGGCAAACCCCAATTTGTTCTGTACGAATTATCCTGAGTGTGTGTGTGTGTGTGTGTGCCCAATGTGCTAGGGATACAGCCTAGCTCCTCATCTACCAAAACCAAAACCAACTGGTCGCAGTGTTCAAGTTCAGATTACTACGCAATTGACGTCATCTGCCAAGCATAAGCTTCTCCCGATGGAAGATGTAAGATGACTGAGGTCTCCAGCGCACCAAATGAGAGCCTCGGATGAATCCCGCATCCAGAGGCACCAAAGCAAGCTCCTGTCGGAATCAACCCCGTCGAAGGAGCGATCCAAAACCATCCAAAACGGTCCAAAAAAAGCATAACTAGCGGAAGAAAACAAGATATCTAACATTATCTAACCGCCACCAACACGTGGATGTGGCACATCCCAAGTGAGCGTCCATGTGTGTGTGTGTGTGTGTCCACATCTTACATCCATGCCATGCTGCAAGGGTGGTTGGGGAAGCCCTGTTCTGCTCAGTGAAGCCTCGTCCCACACTTTTGCGGAATCACCCGAAATCCAATGTCTCCTTGTAGCAAGGCATGTCCTGGACGCGGGCAATATTGGTGCTTGGGGATCCTGTTACTCAGGTAATCCAAGGTGACTGAAGCCTGCAAAGTCCTCCCAGTCTAGGGCAGGCAAGCAACTTGGATTCACTAAAAGGTCTGACATGTTCTGGGAGATCTGCTTCAGTTTTCTTGGTTTGAATGTTTGTTTATTACTCTTTAGCCTGCTCTTACTTAATTAAGTAGGCACCGATTTAATCAAGTAAGGGAGTAAGCTCCTAGCTACTTATATAAGTTTCTAGTAACTGGACGCAGGATAGCTCACGCTCGCACCACCGATTTGTTTCCTGAATTTTTACAGAAACTTAACCCTCATTTTCAGTTTCAGTCTGTTTGCCTTCAGATGGATCTTGCCTTCACAGGTCTATGTGTCGCCTTCATTTGTCCCCCACCTCCGGCACAGCGTGCGTGGGCGACTCTAGGGCGATACTGCGGTGCTTCTCCTATCTGGTGCAACCAGCTTTGGGAACCTGTGGGTGCATCAGCGCGGCCAACGAGCCAGCATACTACAACTCAACCAGTCAAATTCTCTGATGTGTGCTCTCTTCCTACTCTTGTCATATACTTGTAGGCTTGAATCTCTGAGCCAACAAGCAGGGCATGATAAAGCATGTCTCAAAAGCCTTGTCTATCCTCTCTCACCAAAATCAACCCCTGTCGCCGCCAGTCGCCCCAGTTTTCTCACCTCGCATGGGCGGTCGCACTCGAATTAGGCCTTCCAGGCAAGCCCAAGGCAGCGCGATGTTCTCACCAACTTGGATATCAGTGTTTGGTTGTGAGGTTGTCCGCCTCCGACAACAGCTCTTTTGCAGATTTGAGGGACATGGTCCACTGGGTATTTGCAGCTGTTGGGTCGGGATGTGAGAAGGTGTTTTTTTTTTTAATGGATGTAAGATTCGGACCCCCAACCAGTGGCGGTCGGTTCATGTCGGTTCTACGTTTGGGGGTTGTGGGTCAAACCCAATCCTATGAGCCGGCTGAACGCAAAAAGACAGAGCTCTTTGGAAGTCGCGACTCGCCCAAGTCTCCTGGAGAAGCTCTTCTTACAAGGCCTGGATCAATGCCCCATAGCTCAAAACTCCCCATCCTGAGATCTTCAAATTGCTGTTCCCTTGTTCCTCGACTTGGGACAATGAGTGCACCTGGAACCGGTGCCAACGGCTGATCCAGCTTCTCGGGAACTGGCGAATTGGCATGGCCACATGTCCACCCTCTCTCTCCATTCGTGGGGCCATCGGTGTTCCGGTTGGGTTTTCGATGACATGTGGCCAACTAGAATAATCTCAGATTCCAAAACATTTCAAGCACTGCGAATCATTGCAAGGTGCAAGCACTACTCCCCTCATCGTCCGACTCGTCCACGGACATCGACTGGCGAGGTTTCATCCCGGAAACATCCGATTGGCCAGGCAAAGCCACCTTGAATCTTGAAAGGGCAAACAGCATCGTGGGAGGAACGCCACACACGTCATGAAGGATACAAACTGGGCATGAGTCGTGCAACGCAGGTCCCCTTTGCTGCTCATCCAGCATGTGCTTTCCATAAGTCCAGGTATCCCTGCAGCAGAACCCCAAACCACTTCAAGAACCTGGCAACCAAACTCCCCAAACTGTCTTCCGCCGAGATTCCAGCCATTCAAATCTTCCCTAGCCTTTCCATTGACTTCCCTACTAGGTTTTTGACCAGATGACGCGCCATCGGATCAAGTTCAGGGCTCCCAGCAGAGGAACGGAAGCGGTCACCTGAAGTTCGCACCCCAAAGAGTTCGATGCGTCCTCTTCTTCAGGTGCAGTTGTAGGTACCAGGCAGGGTAAGCTTTAGGCAATTTGAAGCGTGAGTTGGCCACCTCCAGCCAACTAGGGCAGAGCTCACAAACATTCAAAAACACTCGACTACAAGACTCAAGCTGATGATGAGGGAGGGGTAGGGTAAGGAGAACAAGGTGGGGATCACTGGATCACCACCAGTTGAGCAAGTCAAAGCATCCATTGCTGAAAGCATCTCACCCGGCCTCTCTCATTGCTGATGTCCAGTTCGTGTTCACTGCCGCTGTCCTGCAGAGTGCGATTATGTCCTATAAACTGCAAAGCATGTCACACCAAAAAATAGGGGAACGTCGACATGTCATGAAACCAAACCCAACATCACCCAACCATCTTTCAAAGACATTTAAAGGTCTAACTGCCTGTGATCATAGCATTTGTTGCCCTTCCTTCAGCGGCTGCCCTTTGCTGCCCAAATTAGAGAGGTTCTCCATAAACCCCTCAAAGTCTCCCAGTCCCCAGCTGCTAAGGACTCATAAGGACTTATATCATAAAGCTAAGAAATACCAACAATGTTCAAACATTCGTGCTGCATGCACAGTGGATGTCTTCGTTGGTTCAAGGGACTCAGCAAACACTGCGGTGCGGCGGCCCTGCCTCGCCCATGCGGCAGGTTCGGCAGGTGTTCTGACAGTGGCTGTTGGCAGGACGGGTGGTCCCAGGAGGGAGGATGGGAGGTCTTGACAGATATACTGATATACTAGTAGCTTCTTGTCTGTGATATTCCTCTAACAGCTACAGCTAAAGCCTCGGTCTGTGGTCAGGCAATGTGAAAGAATTTGTCATCTTTCCGGAAGTCCCTAAACCCAAGACACTCAAAGCTCACAAGT